CGACCAGGCTTCATACCGACCGGTCCCAGACAGCAAAATGCATTCCCTACCCAGTCACAGAAACCTCGCACACTACATGCTTTCGGTAGTCCTGTTCTCAGCGCACCCTCCGGGCCTAAGGCGCTCATAGCGACCAGTCCCAGACTTCAGGAAGCGAAAATGACACTCTTGCCGCCTAGGAAGCCCGTGGAGGACATCCAGGCTTCTAGGGACGTGGATATGTCAGCGTCTGCATCGAGTGCTGACGAAGACGAGGCAGAGGATGACTCGTTTGACGAGGAATACTTCGCTGAATCCGAGGCAACACATAAGCGGGAGATGAAACTGCTCGAGGCTAGGAAACCGCCACCGTTGCTAGAAGACCCCACCATCGTGGCGTTATTGGTTAAACTGCAGTTCCTTGAGATGATCTTGCGAGAGACCGCACCCAGACCTGTCAAGCTGGAAAACGAGGTCGGGAAAGAGGAGATAGCTACCGCCATCGCGGTCCAAACGGAACTACCGTCGCCAGGTGAGGTGCTCAGAGCCACAACGCCGGAGCCGGAACAACAGCTGCCAGATGTTTGGAGACGGCCTCTCAAGGAGACGCCGATCAACCCGATACCGACTCCTCCAATCGAAAGTTTACCGTATCTCAAATCTGGACCCCCGGAGAGGGTCGTGTTTGAGGAATCCGACAACGAAGTCGAACATGAAGCAGTTGCAATCCTCCTGCAACAGGAGTTTGAGCGTGAAGCATGGGATTTGCGGGCTGATCTTGAAGAGAAGCATGCGGAGTTCAAGCTCAAATACTCTTTGTGGAAGCAAGAAATCAACCAAATCGAACAAGAAAGACGCGAGCAGCAAGCGAGTCCTGCACCGGCCTCTCCTGCACCATCGGCCGCACCGTCCGTTACACCGTCACTGACACACGAGCGGACCAGGGGTGCCCGGAACACAACTGAGGCCGACCTGGAAGTCGCACTTTTACTGTCCAAGCAGTCGGCGAAGGAAGAGGAAGAGCGGAGAGAAAGAGAGGCTGCTGCCACCTCCTTGCCGAACTACGATACAGAGGCGGCAATACCTCCGATGCTAACCGCGACAGAAATTGAACTCTCCCAGTTCGAGGACACTAACAATCTGATTCCACACGGATTGGTCAAGCATAAGTATGCTTACTGGCCGCCGGTGGATGATTTTACGGCGGAGGAACAAGAACTGTTCATCACAGCGTACTGTCAGAATCCCAAGAAGTGGAGTAAGATTGCGGAGTCCATTCCGGGAAGGACGTATCAGGATTGCATCACCCACTACTACTTGACAAAGGATCAAACTCGATACAAGGAGATCTTCAAACGATCACAGCCCAAGCGGCGTGGCCGAGGGAAAGCTGCAACGAAACCTCGATCGACCGCCTTGTTGTCAGAGCTGCAGCGTGGCGATGACACGGACGGCACACCCCTTGCGGTCACGGACAGTGGTCGGCCCAGGCGAGCAGCAGCACCAACATTTGGAGATGCTCCCAGTGAAGCTGACCCGTCGACTCCTGTACCTCAGTCAAAGAAGCTCACAGCGGCCTTGTCTAACCCGGATGCTACTGCAAGCAAGACAAGTAGGGGCCGGAAGACTGGCACCGGCGCCAAGGCTCGCAAGACGAAAGCACAAATACAGGCGGAGCAACAGCAGACCACTGTTCTAGGGACGGCCGAGGCTTCGCCTGGTAAAGTTGCAACAGCTACCAAGGCAGAACGAGGACGAACAGTGCTTCGCGCTGGTGACGGTGTGCCCATGAGAGCCGATGGACCTCCGGCCCCCCAGCCACAGCGTATCGTTGAGGCCGCTCTACCACAGTATCCCGTATCCGAAATGCCTTTGGTACCCGCGTTAGCCCAAACCGCTACTACATCGGCAGTGACCAGCTATTGGTCTGTGCCCGAGCAGCACAAATTCCCAGAGCTTCTGGCGTACTTCGGCCGTGATTTCGCGGCAATTGCAGATTTTATGAAGACGAAGAGCGTGACCATGGTGAGTGTCCCCAAATGCGAGTGGTTTTCTTGGCCTAACAGCGCATAGATTAAGAATTACTACTCACGGCAAATCAATGACGGTAAAGACGAGTTCGAGAAAATCGCCCAGGTAGGGGACCAGAGACGTATGGCTGGGGAAGTCATACCGCAGCCGCCAAGTCCCATTGCTCCTGCCAAGCGCCGTTATGATACAACGCCGTCGTTAACGCCAGCGTCCCGTCCTCCCATGCAGCCAGATCTGATGAACGTCGATGGCGATCCGGTGCTTCCGGTAATGAAATCGAACATCGTAGACGAATTTCCGCAGAGCATTCTCGAAAGGAACCCCACGGGTGACATTGTATCAAAGCCTCGGTCAGTTATCCGAGAAACGCCTCGCGAGACGCCTCTACCCGGTCCTCTGTCCACAAAGACAGAAGAGCTTCCCCGGTCATCAAACGACCGGATCCCTGTGTTTGGGCAGAAGCCGCATGGCCCTAAAGCTGGCTTCTTCCAGGACGATATTGGTTTGCAGAATACACGTCCAAATTTCCGACCACATTTACAGGAGAGCTCGCCTCAGATTCTGCCGCAAAGACCGCCGGAATTACCTCGCAGTGACATGAATCAACAACCGTTGATACCTCCTTTAGCTCAAAGCCTGCTGGGTCCACGCGAGCCTATGATACAGACCGCACAACGAACTCAGCCGCCGCCAGCACCTCTTATCCAAGCACTTCACTCGCAAGCTGACAAATATCCGCAGCCGGGTGTGTTACACCCTGGTCATAGTCGAAATAACAGCTTGGCGAACCCAAATCATTCTCCCCTGGAGCCAGCTCAAGAGCTGTCCTCACTACGTCGTCTCGAAGGTCAACGCCCAATGTTTGGAAGCGCCATGACCGGTTCTCCAGCGCCATCAACAACACCAATGCCATCCTCTCAGCCCCCGAGGAACGAAATTCCCAAAACGAGCGTTGCACCTCCTCCACAAGACCCTCCAAAGCCTCCTGTCAAGCGGTCCAATGTGTTCGGTCTTCTCAACGACGATCCGCCCGCTCCACCACCAAAGCGACCATCCCTGGAGACGCCAAAGCGAACGTCGATCCTCTCGCCACAAATCGCACCCCTTTCTTCGGCCCAGAATCCATTACAGCAGCCAAGAAGTCAGCTCCATCCTGACGACCCATTGCTCAATAGGACGATACGAGGCCCGTATGGTCACGGCAGTCTACTGTCAGCCAGCGGTGTGCAGCAGACATCCGCCGAGTTTCCCAGTGCATTTTCCACTCCTCCCGTTACTGCACCAAGCAATGAGACGTGGATGGACCGTTTCGACCCACGAACCCAGGGAGCTCCTGCGGAACAACGGAATCACCGGCACTCGCCTGCGCCCTCTCCATATTCTGTTGTGCCTCCGGGCTCGCAACCTCCTTCTCTCCATGGTATGCGGGCTGATACACCTCGAAGCTTGGATCGACTTGGGATGGATCATCGCCGCGGTCTACTGGGCCAAGTGAACCAGATGCCTCATGTGCCTTCGCCGCCACCTCAGCAGCCTACGCAACCTGTACCACCTCTGCGGTCAGCGTCAAGTTCGTCCCAACACGCGCGGGTTTCGTCACTGGGGTATCCAAGCTCGCAACAGACAAGCCAGTCTTCGTCACTAGGTAACCCGCCTGCTCCACAGGGTCATGCACAATCGGCAGGCTCAACTCCAGTATCAGGCCTTCACCATCGGCCTCAATCTTCACTTGACTTCCCACCGCGACTGACCATTCAACAACACATGGCGCAGCAGACTCAACAAAAGCAGCAAGAGCAGCAGCGCGAGCATGAGCGGCACCTTCAGAGACAGCGAGAAATGGACGCAGTGGTGCAGCGGGAGCGAGAGCGGGAACGAGACCATCAACAGCACATGAGACGCGAAATTTATGGTATCGATCCACTTGGGTCGCAAGTCTCTCGGCACAACCAGTTGGGTGCTACAGCCAACCAGAGTCACATGTCTTTTACTCAACGTGAGATTCCCCGAACGTTCACACCGCCCCATCCCCATAGTCACGGCCACACTCATTCTCACTCCCACTCGCAATACGCTGGTCATGGCCCAGTCGGTCCAGGAGGGACACCTGGTCTGCAACACCCGCTCCAGCATGGGCTTCCACACCAACAGCAACCAGGGGGGCCGTCACTCCATCCGAGTTTGCATCACCCTCATCACGCCCAGCTCCATCCAGGTGGACACCCAGGACATTTCCGGAACCAAAGTCAAGGGGACGCGAGACGCGATGGACGTGGATAGGGATAATAGGTCTGTGGGGACCAGCGGTGTCGGCAAGGGTTAGGCGGTTGCGCGGGTATCAACGGTTTCTCGTGTGCATGGCAGGACGATTGGATGTATGAGTACTTGGGTCCAGGGTGTATCGGCTTTAAACGGAGCAAATTGTATCAGTGATGGAAGAGTTTGCTGCTATCAGCCATAAGTACCCCCCGCAGGCTCGTAGGTGGCGTAGAGAGACAAGCCGCCTGAACATACTCGGTAATGGTGCTGCCTAGTGAATCCAGACCGATGCACCGCCACAGGCTGTGGCACAGGCCTGAATACGTCACCGTGACCCATCCACCCACTGCGCCCGTTAGGTGCCCATTGTGCCATTTTAGGTGCCCCTGCAGCCCCCCTGCACCTAGCCAACGTCCATACTTACCCAGTACTTAGGTCTCCTAGGTGCCGTGGTGCCTCCTCCACCACCGCGTCTGCTTCTCCAAGACTCGAGTCCGAAGCGACGTCGTTCACAATTGAAGCTTACGCGGTCTGCCGCTCCTTGAGCCACCGCAGAACCGTCTCGCGACCTTGAACAGGCAGTCGAATCTGTCTCACCTGGTACCGTATCGAATGACACTCTTGTCTGATGCTGCGCTTGTTCTCACTCCTACTCTTGCTCGACCTGTGCCGCCTGGCTCTGCCATGTGAACCCAAGGCAACCACCATTGCGCCCATCAGCAGTCCAAACCATGACTCGTAAAACATCTCTACCATATCCCGCGAGCCCTCCGCCGCAGCATCCATTCTCTCCAGCGTTCAACCAGGCGACCGACTCGGCGGACGGTCCCAGCTACCAAGATGCAGAGAATCCATGGTCGGATACCCCTCAGAAGGACCTCAGGTCTGACCGACCTCTGCCCGATATTCTGAGAGCAGGCCCCTCCCATCCGATTCAGCATCCCGCCGTCGCTTCGGCCGGTCAATCGTTTGCCCACATTCCCCAAGCTCTCCGAGCGGGCCACTCGCAGGAGCACACACCGCGATCTTCTCTCGACAGCGACCGATCCAAGGGTTTCTGGGAGGACTCGGATGACGAGCAAGAGCAGGGCCGCAGGAGTCCTAAAAAGGGGAACATCGCTCTCCCAGACGCTGACCCGAGCGAGGACCCATGGGTTAAAGTCGAGTCGGTCGAGGACAAGTCGTCTGCCATCAAGAGGAAACCCGTGGGTTCAGGCTTAACACCCGCGCAGTCAAGACCTGACCCTCCGTCCCCCTCGGGGTTCGCATCTAACAACCCCTTCAGACGGCCTTCCGAGCAGCTGCAGGGACCTGATTGGGGTCAGGACATGTTGCCACATTCTAAAGGCAAAGAGCCGGATCGAGGGAACAATGTACCACCAGCTGAACATTTTGAAGGCCTCAGCATTGCAAGACACGCCGTGCCAGAGCTGGCATCTTACACGCCACAGTCAACGCCTCACTCGTCGGCAAACGCTCCGGGGAGGCAGCCATACCCAATGCAACCTCCCATGCCGCAAGCTCCTCCTCCTCCAGTGCCGCCAGAACCGCCATCGCCCTTCAGCACACAACCCCCCCTGATCCCCGTATCTCCTAATCATGGCTCGAGTGACAATCCTTGGGCATCCAACCTTAATCTGGGGGCTCCCACTCCTTCTCCGATTCCGTTTGCATCTTCGCAAAAGCAAGTGTCCAACTATAACAAGGATCTGCTTGACCGTGGACAGGAAAGCGGAGTCGTCTCCCTCGGCCAAGAATTGGAGACTCTCCCGGACGCGGCACAGCAGACAGGGACAGTGGCGGTTGAGGAGCCGTCGTTGCTGGAAGACGAGGCAGATAGGCCTCCGCTGCCTACCAGACCGGCAAACCGTGCTGACACGGAGTCCTTCGATCCACCCGAAGGACCCCCGCCGCCAAAACCTCCCCGACCAATCCTCCGCACTACTATACCTTCGGATGAAGAAGTCGCAAGGATGGTAGAACAACGAAATGAAACATACCAGATCAAGCATTTTAACTGGTTCGACCACAGTTCGAGGAAGCTGAGACGGTCGTCCATGTTGACGCAGAACAAGAACGGCCCCTGTCCGTTGCTGGCGCTGGTGAATGCCCTGATTTTGGGAGCAAAGGATGAATCACAAGCTGCCCTGGACGAGGCGCTTCGCACACGTGAGCAAGTCTCTCTTGGCCTCATCATTGAAACACTGATGGATGAGCTGCTATCGAGGGGCTTGGAGGCTGTAGGAGAGGTAATGCCGGATGTGGATGAACTGAATCACTTTCTGATGCGCCTACGGACCGGGATGAATGCAAACCCTCGATTTGTACCCCCTTCAGCACCGCCGCCCAATCTCATGGACGCAGACGAGTCGATGCTGGACCTCACTCGCCAGAGACGCGCGGCGCAGAGGCTTGGAACGTTCGAGGCAACTCCTGACATGAAGCTGTACGGTGCCTTCCAAGTGCCCCTAGTTCACGGCTGGCTTCCAGAGCCTGGCTCGGACGCTGCAAGGGCCTTTGCACGTTCAGCCCAAACGTACGAAGATGCACAGGCCTTGCAGTTCGGCGAAGAAGAATTAGAGTACAAGCTGGCACACCAGGGTCTGTCAGATGCCGAGGAGAATATGTGGCAGGACATCAACTCGATCAAGAACTTCTTCAAGGCGTATCCCACCCAACTCACTCCGACAGGATTGGAAGCCGTCCAAGATTCTATCCCATCTGGGTCGTTTGCCATCATGTTCCGCAATGACCACTTCAGCACGATATACAAGCATCCCGAGAGTGGTCAATCGTTCACGCTGATCACAGATGCCGGTTATGCCGACCGAGACGAGATCATCTGGGAGAGCCTGGTTGACATCACCGGCAAGCACAACGAATTCTTCTCTGGCGACTTCATGCCGGTCAGCCACAATGATACGGGCAATGAATCCTCCGCTCACCCGACAGCTCGGCGAACATCGCAACTCTTGACCGTCAACAATCCTCCGTCGGCAACACCACTCTCGCCTCAAGAACAGCAAGAACAACACGATGCTGATTTCGCAATGGCCCTCCAGCTCCAGGAAGAAGAGGAACAGCGACAACGGGCGGATCGCAATCGGAGACGGACTAGTGGAAACCCTACCACCAATACTCCTCAACAGAGAAGGCCACAAGCCGGCAATATCCCTATCCCGCTACGGTCAACTCAGCAGCAGCCGGCACAACAACCTCCTGAAGTCCGACCACCTATCCCTCCTCGCACCTCTCACGCCCAAGAACGACCGGGCGTGAACCGTCCTGCCGACGCTCTTGCCGAAGATGCACCTCCAGCGTACGAAGAAGCCGCCAAAGGGCGACCATATATTCCTCCTCTGGGCAGTCCGTTGCATCCCTCATCCGAACCTTCGCCGATGAATTCAAACACTCAGCTGACCGGCACGATCAGCAACGCGTCGACACATTCTGCGTCGGTGCCCGGTGCTTATGAGCCACCGACACACCCGCCGGGCCCCAATGCGGGACGGAGGGATCCGAGACGACGAACGAGCGCGTATAATGAGACGCAGGCGTTTTATCAGAGCCCTGGGAGATTGCATCCGCAGAGTGCAGTCGCGGGGCCGAGTGGACGGCAAGGGGGTAGGCGAGAGGATCGAGACTGTATTGTCATGTAGAACGGCGCGGATGGTCGAGTGTCGGGGAAACACTTGCGTGAGCAAGGGCGCCGAGACGGCCGACGACAAACATCGACAAACGAACGGTGGGTGGGAGCCTCACACAACATATAGAATAACGATTATGCACTATTCCCCAAGCACGAAGAATGATGCCCAGGATGTAATGAGGTATTGGGCAATGAGAAAAGTCTATGAATGCAGAGGAAGGTCCTCACGAAAGCTCCCTCCTTCACTTTCCATCACTAACTTTTGGAATTAGAATTCGAGATTAATTGGTACGGGATCGTTCTTCCCCTGGGTCGGCGGTTCAGTGAGTAACCATGACTCACACTAATCTATGTCGTCTTCCTTCGACTCTTGTCTTTGTCTACACCTTGTTTCCGAGTCTCCTCACGTTTCTGTATAAATTGGTCCCCCGCCCGCTACTCAATCAAGCTTCAGGATGTCTAGTGAAAGCACTGCAACCACTGTCAAAGAGGCTATGGCGTGCTCCTCAATTCTAGACGAGCTCCTCAATCAGGACCGGGCAAAAGAATTTCTCAAGCAAACGCTCTCGGTCGGAAGGGAGAAGTCGGAAACGTCAAGCTCCGCAGAGTCTATGAATGAAGCCCGATTTCTACCTTGCGACGAACATCAACTGCGCGACATTGGACCGCGGTAGCTGCGGCAGTGTTTTCGAAGTCCCCGGGACTACCTTCGCCATCAAGAAGGGCGCAAATACTAAAGCTATCTGGAATGACTTCAATTTGACCAATCACGCCTACAATTCCTACCTCACCTGGGCCGGCATTCTCTCAATGAACTTCCCCGGGCGGCGAGTACCTCGCGTGCCAGGGGCACTATTCTTCAACAGCCCTGACTCTGCAGAATATTGGGATGTAGTCTTGAAACGATTCCCTCAGGGCGATCGAAGCAGAGCCGCCGCCTTTCACGTCGATCGGATCTTACCAGCGCCCCGGCCAACGCGAATGTCTCTCGTTCGCCTGTTCTATCATAACGACACGCAGACTCGGCATAATGTGCTTAGCAATAAAGCCAACAGAGACTGCCTGATCCGTGTCTACTTGGGCAGTAACAACCCTTCGACCCAAGCCTACGACGTCACCGCCACACTCCGAAACTTCCCACTCTACCTCGACCAGGCCAAGCTGGTCGGCCTCGACATCACCGCGTATGCTGAAGAGATGGCCATCGGGCTCGCACTTCTACACTGGCAAGCGCAGATTGATGCTGCAGATACCGAGTTTGTTATTGGCAGCTCAACAGGCACCACCTTCCGCACTAGATACCCGAACCACCAAGCCCGACCGCCTCCTACTTCGACTGTGGACGACTTCGCACGCCGGGAGATCCAGATGTGGATGTTGGACTACGACAAATGCAGAGAAGTTGACCTCAGCGCTAAAGATGCCGCATCAGCGGTGGTCAACCAGTACCTTGTTGCTGTCACGGGCAACGATCCCCACTTTCCGCACCCCTGGCCGGACATTGAACTGTGGCAAAGATTTCGCGCGGCATATCTCAAAGCAAGCGAGGTTATCCTCAGCGTGAGGGGTGTTGGGGTTGCAGTGGACTTTCCGGGCATGTTGATCGAAAAGTGGGAGGGGTGGGGAGAGAAGGATATGGAAGCGAGCGAGTTCGATCCGTTCGCCAGGGACGGTGACGGCAGTAATGAGGATGGTGGATGGTCTAATGATGGACTGGAGGGGGGAATCACCGACAATGATTCGGAGGAGGGAGGGGAGGAGGAGGAGGAGGAGGGCGAAGAGGAGGAGGAGGGCGACGAGGAGGAGGAGGGCGACGAGGAGGAGGAGGGTGACGAGGAGGAGGAGGAGGACGACTAAGAAGGAGAACAAGCGGTAGAGGAGGTGGAAGATGGATTAACTGATTGCATAGGAGACAATCATAACGACATTGAAAGTAGAAGATGACAAGACCCATGCAGCCCGAGGACGAGACGGTATGACATATCGAAGCTGACATTCACCACGGCGCTACAACGGCGTGTGGAAGGCGCTTAAGCGCGTTGAGCTGCCCGTGGCCAACTCAGTCAGTGCCTCTAGACAGACTGCGCGAACTGCAGAACCCCAAATGCGCAAAAATCGATTGCGACTCATGCAGTATCCACCCATGTCTACCACTCAAACTTCTCGCCAGTCCACGCTTCACTGACGTCCCATAACTTCCTCGCCAATTCCTTCTTCGTCGCGTACCCTGGCGCGGGCTTGGGCTGGCAATCCGACATGAACGCACCCATGCCATCTTCGGCGGGCAAGCCGAGAGAAGGATCAACCGCCGCCCTCACACTCGTACTACACCCCTGCTGCTGGGTCTTCCATTTCATGCCGTGCGCCTCGGCCTTGGCCAGCATCGTCGCCAACAGCTGCGGCTCCGTATTCCTGCCCAGCTCGGTGCGGATCTCGCCCGGGTTGACGGCGAAGCTCAAGATGCCGTACTGGTCGTACAGCTTGTCGTTGAGCGCGACGCTGAAGAGCACCGCCGCGGTCTTGCTCGCGCCGTAGGCGATCGTGGGGAAATAGGTCGTCGAGTCGTCGACGGGCAGGTCGAACGCCTGCATCATTGCGATGTTGGGGTATTCGTCCGGTTTGGGCATCGCCGAGGCTGGTTTCTCGTAGGTGAGGTCCGAGAAGCGCACGCCCGTGACGGCAACGCCCGCGCTTGCGAGATTGACGATGCGGGCGGTTCCCTTGGGAGAGGTCTTGGCGGCGGCGATGACCTTGGGCAGGATGAGGTTCGTCAGCAGGAAGTGGCCGACGTGGTTGGTCGCCATGGTGAGTTCGACGCCGTCGGCCGTGATGGTGCGGGTTGGGATGTTCATGATGCCGGCGTTGTTGATGACGATGTCGATCGTGGGGATGTCGGTCCAGGAGAGGACTTCCTTGGCGGCGGCGCGGACGGATTGCTGCGAGGAGAGATCGACTTTCAGGGGCCGATAGTCCACGGTCGGGTAGACGGATTTGAGATCATCGATGCACTCTTGCAGCTTTTCCGTCGTGCGACCGGCGAGGATGAGGGCCTTTGGAGACTGGGAGGCGAACGACTCGGCTGTGGTGAAGCCTATGCCTTTCCTGTTGACGCCCGTGATGAGGATGGTGCGGTCCTTGATGGAGGAGGGGAAGGCAGCCGCGACGGCAAGCCCCTCTGTCTCAAACCCGAAGTCCGTCGGCATGGTGATGGGGAAAGCTAAAGGTGCCGCTGTTTGAGGATTACAAAAGACCCAAGGGCCGGTGTGGCTGGAGTGGTTGGGTCGGTGACGGTAGGGAGGGAATGAAGCAGGCGTGTAGCAGGCGGGGTTTTTAGAGTGGGAAATCTGATGCTTTATAGAAGTATGGATCAAGGGGATGGCCTCCCTTCTTAAACGTCGTCTGGTCGAGCGTGCTGGAGCAGGACAGAGAGTTTAGGGACCAGGAGCACAGCGGTTCCAGAGACGGATGCTCATGTCCCCGGCTTCGTCCGTTGGAAGAATGGCGTCCAGAGGCCTAGGGCGAATGTAGAGGCGTCGAGGATGTCGAGCTCCTAGCCGGATGCCTTTATTGTGGACCTCTGACTCTTCATGGTCATTGGTGTGTTCGGAATCCCGTGGTTCTGATTGGCTGAATAAGGCAACGAAGAGGGCGTCCCAGCAACTGCCTTGCGTTTCGCAGTCTCAACCGTCATGGAACCAATGCATACAGTTGGGCCGAAGTCGCCCGGGTTCGGCGGAGACGGAGCTAGACATCTTGGGGCTTTGCATGAAGCATTCGCTGCCGGTCTGGTGTCCATAGTTCTGGGTGTATTGGTGGAGGCGACACATGCGGGATGCCGACTCCCAAGTCGTAGTGAGAGAATGAAGCCAACCAGCACGGAGACGTCTTTGTGAGGTGTGAAGCCGTTGTTGAGACTCACCTTCACCTCTGACCTGCGAACAGTTACTCCTGCCCAGCCACCTTAACCGCACTTGTACGACCTCCGTTGATTTCGCCTACCTGCTCACCTACGTAGGTCACTACAACTTCTGCAATATGCCTGGGCAGGAGATCCGCACCGCCGTTACCGTCCTGATCCTGCATGCTTTATCGCTGATGACCTGAAAGCCCTCGTCCCAGTAGCTGGCGGGAGCCATCGTACGGCAGGCCCATAGAAGCTCTGACTGCAAGACTGGCTTGAGTCAAGGCGAGTCCTCAGACTGTAAGACTACGCACCATCTTTCAGAGGGCGACCGGCGCAGGTGATGAAGAAGTAGAAGCCCTGAAACGTTGGCACCCATCGTGCGGATTGCGGCGAATGAATTGACTAGTCGACCAAATTACCGCGGATATATCCGTGAGCAGGAGCTTCACCAGTACATATCATTCCGGCTCTGCAGTCTCTGATTAGCGACTTGCCTTTGACTACTTTGGGGTACTGGTCTCCGCCGAATATAATTGTTTACATCAAATTGTGAAGATGAAAGTGAGGTCGTGGTGAGGGCAAGGTGAGAGACTGCGCACGTGACCATGCCAAGATTTGTCGGGTAAATGTGCGCCAATCGAACGCCGCCAATGAGGCACCCACTAGGTGGTCGGCTACAGGTAGTTGGCCACATCGTAGGATCTGACGACGGCCAGCAAAGGTACCAGATGGAGCCTGGTCATAGGATGGCTACTCGCACACAGAAGGCATTCGTCAGAAATGCGGGGAAGAATTGACGTGTCTGGTGAACTTGGATTGCCACTGGCGTGCACTTGCCACTCAGTCGAGGCCACAGCGGCGCGTCGCTGCCTGGATGGATCCCAAGAGTGAGGCTGAAACCCCGGCTTAGGGAACCTTTTCCCGCAACAGTCAAGTGGTGCGTCAAGAGGCCGCAATGGCTTTCCAGAGCCAACGGGCGGTCGGTGTACAGCCCGTTGGTGGCAACGCGTCCCTCAGCACGGTGGCGGGAGGATCAGACCAGAATTCCGTCGGGATAGAAATTGAGAGAGCAGGAGTCAGTTAGAGTCATATGGCGCAAGTGGTGCGATATCCACGACCAGGAAGGCTAGCATCTGGTAACCGGCGGCGTGGGGGGCGCCTGGCAAGCTTCACCAGCTTCGCCCAATTCGGTTCGCGGGACTTTCTCTCCAGCTGACGGGCGACCCCACCGGCGTGACCAGGCCTATCAGAGGGAGTCCCGGCGCCTGTGCCGCCTAGCAGAGTGACTACTCCCCATTTCCCATGCGTGCCTACGCTCCTCTGACCGGTTGGCAACGAGGCACACAAGGCTGCTAGCTTGCAGGCAGTGCTCTTTCGCTGGCACGAATGTTTTCGCACACTCATATTATTACTCCGTGCTCTCTCATCTCCGCCGTTACTGAGTCACCAGCCTGACATTGCCCTCCCAGTGTGTCAGTACATTTGAAGATGTAGTCGGACTCTCTGTGCTTTTGTGAGTGAACTTGACGATCTGCTGTCGATACAGTCCGCCACCGCCGGACAGACCCATTCCGCTGCCTTGATTGAGTGCTTGCAAGTTGAAGCCATGTCAAGCTCTCAGAATTCCGCTTCGGTGCTCGTCCAACACTCTCCTCCCCCACCTCATACCTTCACCTCGCCATACAATCTGGAACAAGAGCCTCAACACCTCATCCAGCCCCCCATTGTTCCCGAACCTCTGCCATACGAACCAGTCCGGTCTAACTCTCCGCAGCCTGAGACCGAACAACCCTCATCTACTCCTGAGATGCCTGATACCCCGATGGTCGATGCACCCGCCCCTGCTCCTACAGAGTCTGAGCCTCAGCCACTGTCAGAAACCGAACAAGACCAAGTGCCCGTCGCCGGGGAGGAGCCGCAACCATCCGCTGAAGACGATGTGGCTCCTGAACCAGCAGCCGTCCCCTCGGAGCCGCAAAGTACGGTAGTAGCAGAGGTCCCTAGCCAAGATATCGAGATACTACCACCGCCACCACCCGATCCGCGGAAGGGTCCTCCGGATTGGGTTCTGTACGAGGAGGATGTGTCAAAGCCGACACCGGAGGAGGAGGAAGAGCTGAAACTGAGAGAGAGCAGAGGAACAGAACTGAGTGCGTTGGATGTGCCCAGCGTGGAGAAGCGCATCTACTCAGACGTGGACGACCCAGACATGCGGCCAGTCAAGAAATTACGTCTGAGTTGGATTATAAAAGGGGTCCGAGGGACACAAGACAAGCCGAACTATGCAAGAGTCATGATCTCGCCTCCTGCTCTCGTCGACGGGACATACTGGCAGATCAAATTCTACCCGCGCGGCAACAGAGCCTCGTCCTATAGCGCTTATATCAGATGCAGCAAGAGACCACCCGACACAGAACGTGAAATTCGCGGTACCAGCTTTTCCGTCTTTGAGGGTCCACCCGACGCGAACTTTGGTCCTGGGGCTGTGCCGAGTCAGACCTTGAGGGTCGAACCGGCTGCGAGCAAAATCGAACGGTCCTCTTCGACTTCGTCCGCCACTTCCAGCGCCTCCCAGAAACAGGACAGCCCTGCAACGCCTGAAGCGGTGAATCCGGATGAGTCTGACAGCCAGAATGAGCAGGTGCACGAGGCTCAAATTGCTCAAGCGACGGAAGAAGACTGGCGAGTGTCTGCTCAGCTCGGGGTAGTCATGTACAACCCTGAAGAGCCACGTACATGCGCATACACGACCAGCGAACACCAGTTCTCCAGGCATACCGACGACTGGGGCTGGTCCAATGTTGTCGGACCGTGGAAAACCACACACATGCGCCAGCACTTGCAACGAGCCCCGCTTCTCCAGAACGACACAATTGCCATTGATGCCTACATCCGCATCTTTGACGATCCAACAAAAGCTCTGTGGTGGCGCAGCTCCGATGGCGAGCCACACTGGGACTCGAAAACACTTGCGGGCTACTTCCCCATGGGGACTCCTCCTCTCTACCACAGCCCTGCTGTGGCGGGCATGACGGCGTGGCTTCTTCTGGCGCCTTTCCGTAAAGTTCTGCAGTCGATCGACAGTGGTGCGTGGCGGCGGGACTCTCAGGTCAGGCCGAAACCATTCATCGCTCAGCTACAAATGATCCTCTTTTTGATGGTTAACATGAGGAAGGAACGAGAGTCTTATGTGGATCTTTATCCGGCCATCCAAGCCCTGAGCGAGCTGGGAGAGGATTTTACCGACGTGAAGACTTTCTGGGAAGTGTTCCGAAGATCAATCGAGCTGGAGTTGGAGGGTGACAACCAAGCTTTGAAGGAATTGAGCGCAATCTTTGACGGCCCCAATGGTCCTATGGCTGTTCCTCCCTTATCGGTTGAAAACGTGCTTGACATCCAGCAAACACTCGGTCGGTCCCTGCGCGAAACCAAATTCCGCGGAACCCTGCCCAACTTTCTGCCTCTTATGTTGGCTCGCGACAAGTTTGACAAGACGACCCGCGAATGGAAGTTGCTCCATGACCGTGTCATCTTGAACGATGAGCTCGATCTGTCAGAATTTGTCGGCGATGCCGAGCATGCCAAGTACACGCTCTATGGGTTCATGGTTCATGCTGGTGCAAGAAACTCGGGCAAGTTCTACGCGGTTCTGCGACCCAATGGGCCAAACACGATGTGGCTGGCCTTTGAGGACGGCGACGGGAATCAAGTATTTTCCTACAGCAGGAAGCGCCTTCAAACATTTGAAGGTCTCGAGGGGCAGGCTTTGAAGGACTTCAACTCTACTCGATCCACTGCTTACATGGCCATGTATATCAAGACAAGCCGCCTCGGAGACTATCTACCCGGCGATCTGGAACCCTACAAGCTGCCGAATTGGCTTTCCTATTACTTGACATCCCCACTCCGGGAAGCTTACGACATCTTTGCTGAAGAAGCCTCTTTGGCGCAATCCGACGAGGTACAGGTGGAAGTCTACTCGGATGAAGGTGTCATTGGGAGAGAAGGGCTCCTCGACATGTACAACATCAAGCAACAGTCGCAACACAAGGGTCTTTTCCACATTCTTACCTTGCCACGGAAGTCGACCTATCAAGACCTAAGGCGTCAACTGGCGCGAATGCTGGAACTGGAGACACCTGAAGCCATTCGACTGTTTCTGATGGGCTATGGCGGCATCGGTAACTACGCGACCGCTCAGCTGGTGGGCGTCAACCTGAAAGATCCTGTTGACGAGAAGAGTACGGCAGGCGCGCCAATATGCTTGTGGATGTCCGTCCTGAAAGAGAAGGAAGACCTTGAGGTTTTTGGGGAACCAGATAAGCCCGATGTTGAGGCGATGGTACAACGGGCCGAATCCAGGAGTGATACGTCGGTCTCGGAAAGTGACGTCAACAGCACCGAGGAGCTGATTGCTGCTCCTGACGCCGAACAAGCTTCGGTTCAGGCAGCGGTAATTGCGGACCTCGCGCGCACCTCGAGCGGCGACCCTCAGCCTGCCACTGTCACGCTCGAGATAAATGACCAGGACACGACCATGCAACTCGATGTTACGACGCCAATCGCCGAGGAACCCTTTTCTACAGACGTCCCTCATGGCCACCTCGTCGATGCAGCGGCGCACGAGGATTTAGTGGCCCAAAACGCCTCGAGGTCTGCGACGTCGGCTTTGTCGGCTGCAGAAGAAGCTGTCATTACTGCCGTGATCGCAGGAGATGCCGGAGTCGTTGATATCGGAATGGAGTCAGGCTCCGAGACTACGGATCCCCTAGGATCACAGTCCAGCGAGTCGTCATCACAGTCTTCATCCCCACCGCCTGAGAGAGAAGAGAGGCCGGTTGACAACGTGTATGGCTTCATTCAGGTCTTCGATCTGGAGAAGCAGATGTTCCAAGTCGAGGGCACCTTTTTCGCAAGGACAGATGACAAGGTCAGAGAGTTCTTGCAGAAGCGTCTTGGCTACAGTGTCGAAAAGAACTTTGCTGCCTGGCGTCGGCAATCGACGGTCGACGGGACCATCTTGGGGGCTGACGAGACGTTCCGGGATGCCGGGTTTACCAATGGCTCGGATATCGTCGTCTACGAACCCGCTTCGGAAGCTCAGATCAAGAAGCTCGAGAAAGACGGCAAATTCACTCATCCGCACGAACTGTCCAAGTATCTGCGAGCGGTTGACAGACGGCATCCGATCCAATCCAAGACGACAGCCGAGCCTATTGAATTGGCCGATTTTGGCACCGACTACTACAAAGGTCCACTCGTTAATGGACGTTGCCATGGCGCGCATTGCCTGAGGATCAGCTCGGCTGGCAACACGTATGAGGGCCCTCTTGTATGCAACGTCAAGTCGGGCAAAGGAGGCAAAATGACCTACTGCAACCGTGACACATATGAAGGCGAGTGGCATCTGGACGAGCGTCATGGCCAGGGGACTTTTGTGGAAGCCCGGACGGGTAACAAGTATGTCGGCGGCTTTGAGAACGGCAAGCGCTGGGGCATGGGAACGACTTATTGGCAGGTCGCCGACGAGCAGGCAGACCTGTGCCAGATTTGCTACGGCAACGAGATTGATGCGTTGTTCTTCGATTGTGGACACGTGTGCGCTTGTGTGGAGTGCGCGAAGCAGTGCGAGCTGTGCCCGATCTGCAGGAAGGCGGTGAAGCAAGTCGTCAAGATGTTTCGATCCTAAAGTGCTCTACTCCAAGCGTTGGTAAAGGGGAAAGGATTTGTCGGATGGTGATTCGGATGGAAGGCACCTCAAGGGGTGGGGGGGAGGATGGCTACGGACCGATGCCCAGATAATTTGGATTCGATGGGTGTTGGCGGCCTGGGCAGGACTATAACGGGGCGGGCGCAGGGAACATAAGGTATTTCGGCAGATGCAGCAATTGAGCGAAGTGAACGACGATATGGGCAAAATGCTCACGAGATGATGGATTTTGCCTGCGAAAAGGGAACTGGTCATTAGACCAGACCGGCCCATGGATACGTATCTCAACTTTTAGCCGAGCGGGTCAAGCTCACGCGTGTCTGTGTACGTTTCCTAAAGCTGTCTGGGCTCTGGCGACAGGGTGGTACAGTGTCATTCGTTCTGCGCTCCCCAGTGCCGACGTCGGCGCAGTCATCGTCATGTCCACGGTAGGCAAGGGTTGAAAGATGAGTGCGTCGGAGAGCAATTCAAGGCCAAGACAACAGCGCGAGTTGTGCAATGGGAAGCCGGATATTAGTGGATGTACAGTATGTATCGAATTTTGCACAAGGATGAGTCTGGCCTGTGGCTGTACGAGTAGGAATGGCGTGCTCGTAGTTGTCTCCCCCGAATGTTCCGTTGACTCCGTCTTCATTCTGCGGCTGTGGTCTCGCGAATCTCGACGTTCGTACGGGCCCGGCCCTGATTCGAAACGGAGGATGGAATTGTCCTCATGGCGTTCTAGAAATGCAGGACCCCCCCGTAGCTCGTATCACACCTGCGTCGATCCCAACACATGAGTTTGTCATCTTTGGGCAAGCCGAGCACGGCTCGCGGCTGTGCTGCTGGTCCCCAGTGGCAGCAGTTCATTAGATCATTCCCCGGAATGCAGTACCTGGCTTTCGTTCATCATGGAAGCCATGTTGTAGACTTCATCTCAACCCAGTCTTTTCCCGTGCGCAAGTCTCATCCATGATCTTTTGACAAGTTGGACAGCTCGATTGCCTGGCGATGCCGCATTCAAAGCCCTACAAGTTGATCACGGTCAGCACGACGCCTGATCGGGCAAGCAGAATGGTGAGGAGACTCGCAGAAGATGTCAGGGACCGATACATGATCATCCACTGTGTCAACGTCTCGAGTATGTCCATGTCCATGTCAATGTCACTGGTTTGCGCCGCAGTGCACGACGCCGACGACGAAGGGGAAGCAACCGCGGGACTGACGATGTGGGTTGACACAGAGATAGAAGAAGTGGAGTCACTCGTGACCCTGTACAGGCCCGACATCTTGGTAAGTGTCGACCTCAAGCACACGTCGACCAAAGGCTGATACAGACCCGTCGATAGTTCTGCGCGTCGACGTGGTCACCAGATCAAAGCGCCGAGATCAAGCGGATTGCGAGGGGAATCGTGCCGGGGCTGCGATGTTATGTGATTCCGCAACGGACGCAGGTCGAGAAAGAGTCAGTGGCAACGATAGAGCACGTCAAGGCGCAGTTGCCGATGATCATCGAGGACAACTTGGGACTACAGGACTGAGACTGCTGGTTTCTGTGTCTTCCCGAAAGCGCCATGGGGAGCGATTAGCCCATGATGTGAGATATCACGGACTGTCGCAACCATAGCGGAGTTGGCGGCGTGGTCACTGGCATACGAAGGAAAGGTCCTCGTGTTCATCTCCCTTGCGCGGAATACCATTGCTAACCAAGTAGTCTCACCTACATTTCTTCGATGTGGACAGATATTCCAGTCACTGGCTCTTTAATGTCTAAACCTACTAATTCGCGCCGTCGTCGATATTGATCAATCACCCTCCTGCCATAATCTCCCTGTTGCAGGTTCAGTCTCCTTGTCTTAATACCATTGGTGCTGTGCTGGAAGATGAAGATCAAGTTGCGATTTGTGTCCAATACATGGATGGCAGTAGGCTACAGAATGAAGCCATCGCCCCAGACGTGGATGGGACTATGCGTCCTGCAATTGTCCAACGAAGCCGAACAGTGCGCAGTGTTGTCCCTTACCTGTCACGGTCGGCGTGTCACGGAGGCTGATAAGGCGTCACATCATCAAAACGTATTATCCAGCTGGTGAGCTCATGAGATTCCGTGGCGTATTCGAGGATCATCTTCGGTTCGGACCCTCGCCAGGATGAAGCAATTTGTCGCTCAGTCTGGGTCTTACACAGAGTTTGAGACTCCCGGGCAAACAGGAGGCGCTAGAATCCGGTCAGGAATCGAATGGGCATTCCTCCGGCTCGAAAGTCGGAATGCCATTGCCATGCCAGGGATGATCGAGATTTGGGAATGCGTGTTCTCGCAAGCCGCCTAAGTTAGAACGGGTAGGTGCCCCTAAGTTGAGCCAAAGGGGTCAGTTAGGGCCAGTATCCCAGTATGTCCCTAGGTGCCTAACTAGTGCAGACCGCCTCAACGAGTCTAAGCGGGGAGGCCGGCCGCCCAATCGGAGCAACACATCTACACGTGCCCTTTTCTTCTGATCAACTTCCAAACTCTCATCTACACTGCGTGTACTCCGTACTGCGCAGCACTCCGTCAACGCACATTCCAACGGCACGCAAGGGTTGCTCGAGGAGACACGACTCACAAACCGAGCTTACCGACACAAACACCAGCTCAAGGTAGGTTTCGAGTATCGGCAGTCTCATAGGATGGATGTGTGCAAGAGCGATCAGAGTGTCATCAAGAACCCGGTAGAGTCGTGCTGCAATCGCTGCTCGCGTATATCTCACGCGTGGTAGTCTTTTTATGAGACTCATCACCCACCCGCTACGCTGACGTTGATAGTCGGGCTCCTACACCGAGGTTCTGAGTATGACGGAGAATATGAAGAGAAACGCGCACACCACTCCTCTCAACCACCACACTCTAGTAGACCACATATGCCACGATGCAGCCCGTATCCCCAGCCGAGAACATCCCTCACAGTCCTGAACAGCGAAGCAGAAGCAAAGAATCACTCGAAGACATTTGGTTCCACCGAACAGTCTCATTCATTCCCATTAAAAATCTCCCGGCTCTGTTGCCGCTTACTCAGATACTGTAGATGCCGGCATCGATCACGCGATTGTTGCAGGGGCTTATATGCCGAGCTTGAGTCCAGTTCGCGCGAAGATCTTCACAGAAGATGCTATCTAACGGGATATATTCGTCCTCACTTTACACTCAGGGCCGTTTATGGCGGATCGGTCATCGCGCATTCGCGAGACGATCTCACCCCTCGCTACCTTTCACCGAGACGGGCCTAGAGTTCAGCGAGGGCAGCTACTCGATGCCGATGTCATTATCTTCCACACGGGGCATCCACATGACGTTCGGGGCGAGGCGATCAAGATGGTGGGACCCGAGATCGGGAATCGCTTCGACGAGTACAGGCAATTGGACCATGAGAGTGTACCGTGCGGAGCGTATAGACCCCGTGAATGTAAGTGTTTGTGTTTCGTGTCACGCTTGCCACCTGGTCCGTCTATTCTGATCTCATCGGGACGTTGAACCTGGAGGCGGAGCAGGGTAAGGTTCGGTATGCTGACCTTGTGATATCTACAGACCCTAGAAATTTGGTACTCCGGTGGGAGCGTCGTACGTGCGAAGTTCTACTCTAGGTCCCTGGTTTTGCAGATCAAGGCATCCTCGGAAGCGGTGCCACTCGAGGTGTACAGGAAGACGCCTCCACCTACCTCCACCACTTACGGCAGATACTGCAGACGTGTCCAGGCATGGATGCCTAACAGTACATTGTCCAACGCACAGGATCTAGATTCGGGAAGGAATTTCCCTCGTCCCTGTCACATCATGTGATACGACGCGTTGCGGTCTTGTCTTTGCCACAATCTCATATGGCAAACCATCCACCGTGAGTCGGGAGTCTTGAGTCGCGACCCCGAAGATTGGAAAGGTTTTGCCCCGAGGACCGATCTCGTGGTCTGTACTCGTGTGACCTCCCTGCCTCCTTTCCTACTGGTGAAGGTTGGACGGGATCCACAATTTAGAGAAGTCCAGATCGAGGCTCAGCTTTCTCTTCGACGGCACGGACGAAAGAATCCAGGGAAAACCCGTCAAATCCCAGTCTTGCCACTCACTCCAGGCGGATAACGGCTACACGGCGTGGCTTGCCTCGTCTCTCAGCTTCGACAGCCGCGTATATACTCAGGAATTCGAGCTTGGGGCCATTTCCCCGTCGTTCCTTCTGGCTTATGCTTACCATCAAAGGGGTTTCACAAATTGCACAAATGTTCTGCTTTAAACGACTCTCTAGAACCGCGGGTGCACGTGCAGAATCTCAAGCCACGGCGACCGAGTCAACTGTCGTTTCGCGAAACGTGACAGCTGTGGAAGAACACGACGTGCCCGTCATCAAAGGACCGGGCTCGACACCAAATCCACCGCACGAACTTTCCGTTCTACCAATCACGAAGCAACCGGGCGCTAACATTCCGGCCATCAAGAAATGCGCCGACAAATTCTCCGGACAGGTTGTCTTGGTGACTGGCGCGGCACAGGGTATTGGCAGAGTCACTGCGCAGATGTTTGCTTCGCAGGGTGCTTCGCTCGTGCTGGTCGACCTTGACAACGACCGACTGCGACGCGTTGCCGAAGAACTGGAGTTGCAGGGACGAAATGTCATCTGCCGGATTTGCAACTTGGCCATCGAGACCGAAGTTGACGCCATGATCACAGGTGTGATACGGCAGGTCGAGAAAGTCGACGTGCTCGTTCACCTCGCAGGGATTGGTCCCTACAAGAGCATCGTTGACCACTCGGGCGTCGACTATGGACGGGTCATGAGCGTCAACATGGACAGCTGCTTCTATTTGACGAGGGCCGTCCTGCCTCACATGCGGGAAGCTGGCTATGGCCGGATCATCAACACCGCGTCAGGAGCAATCTTGCATCCCGAGTCGGGTCTCGGAGTCTACGCTGCAGCCAAGAGTGCGGTCGCGGGCTTCACTCGGAGCACGGCTGTCGAGGCCGGTCCAGGAATCACGGCAAATGCTGTGTGTCCTGGTCTGATATACAATGAGTCGACGTGGGCCAAACCGGGGTCAAGAGCGGTGTTCGAAAAGGCTTTGGCGCGGCAGAGTGTAAAGCGGTTCGGCTTGCCCACTGATGTTGCCGAGATGATTTGCTTTCTCGCCGGTCCTGAGAGCGAATTCATCACGGGCCAGCTGTTTGATATCTCTGGCGGGGCGACTTTTCTGCACTAGAGAAATAGTTGGTAGGTAATGTTTGGCTGGTTGAGAAGGTCGTGCAACTGATCGAGAGTTGTGCTTCTCCGTACTTATGTCCTCTGCATGGGTGACAGTGTTTGGTGAAGATGCGCCCAGATGCCGACGTTGTTCTAGTCTCGCAGCCAACGCAAGATACCCATGATCCGCCGCGATGGCTCGTGTGGAAGAAGTTTGGTGCGTTTCGTCGACATTTGTCTTTTCACAGCAATGGTCACCGGATTCATATCCGGCTTACCGCGGGCGCTTTATCTGTTGAGCTTGCCGGAATTATGGACCGTATGCAGAAGACGATTGAACTCGTCAACTGGCCGTTGCTGAGTGTTTGGGATCGGGTGAGTCATTTCAAGTTGAACTCCATGATAGCAACTGCTAACGAGAGCAGAGTCATCCAAGTTGGGCTCCAGAATAGCAATAGCTGACGGTAACGAGAACAAGACTGCTGTCTGGGTCTCGCGCAGCTGAATGTGTTGGCATGCCTGTTTCTGTGCTCGCGTCCCCCATCCTCTTCTGTGCGGCGTGGCTCACTTGGCTCGACAACTTGTGACACATTGCTCGCCTGTCGAACGAACCGACTTTGCGACTTTGTAGCTAACACATGATCGCGGTTGGTCTTCGGTGCCAGGAGCACCATGTTCTCCGGCTCAGCGGTACTGGCAGTGAATTCATACTGGTCGGAGTAGCGCTGAGAGATTTCACAACGACGAAGCTGGGGAGTATGTTCTGGTTGGTTGAGGCGTGGGGAGGTAGGAGAGAACGAGCCAGCTGTCCTTGTTGTGATCGATTCCCTGTACCTTAGGCAGTGTAGGTGCTTGAGACATCGCCATCCGCTAGCAACTGGCTCTCTTACCAGCGGCTCTACATAGGAAAATGAGTGTTCAATGAGTTTTGGGCCTGAGGGATCCTTGGTTCCCAGCCGCCAGTTTGTACTGTAAGCTGAATACATACTCGGAGATTGACAAGGCCAAGCCAAAACTCGGCGCGCATCCTCGGCGAAGTGCTAATCACTCCCTACGGATTATATTTTTCTCTGACACCGTGGTCCGTATCCTGTCGCTCCGGCTCGCAAGAAAGGGACGTCATGGAATCTTCTCCCTTGAAGATGCGCTCATTCGGTCCCCTCTTCTTGTCGCAGAGCTTCGCGAACTTCGCGGTGCTGGGTGACCTTGGCTTGAGTTCGGCGACCGACACCTTCGTTCACTTACATCATTAGTTACCATACCCCAATCCCTGAGTATCGACAATGCAGGGGCACCATCTGCGTACTATGGAGGTCATATTCCAGGCTATATCATCGTTGGCTGCGTTGGGCATGTCTGGACGTATCGAGAAAGCCAAAATGCATGAACGTGGGTGCTTTGCGTGAAATACCTTGGGAGACACTAAGCTGTAATTATCTGACGCGACCGCCACAATGATTGACAAGCCGGTCATGGTCAAGACTGCCATTGTCACGGGCGCGGTCTCTGGCATGGGCCTGGCCGTCACGCGACATCTGCTGGCCAAGGCGCAAGACTCCAGCTCCAAGGTACACTGGAGAGTTGTCCTCGCCGACGTCAACGAAGCAGCATACGATGAGCTCAAGATGACTCTCAACGAAGGTGATCATATCTTCGTACGAACCGATGTCTCCAAATTTGAGGACCAGCTGGCGCTGTTCAAGCGCGCGTTCGAGTGGTCAGGAGGCCGCATCGACTTCTTTGCCAACAACGCGGGCATCCCTGACAGACAGCCGCTGCTGGGTTGGCTCGGGAGGCCTGAGGAAGTGGAAAAGGAGGATCCCACCGAGCCAGATCTGAGCTGCATCGATGTCGACCTGAAAGCCGTCCTTTACGGGCTGCGGTGTTTTGTGCATTTCACGCGGAAGACAAGGAATCTGCTCGCGCAGGAGACAGTGAACACAATGGACGAGGTGGGCATTCACGGCGGAGATGCAATGATCGGTGTCGCTGCCGCTGCCGCGCATGACTTCCATCCGACAATGGTGGTGACAGCTTCCATGGCCGGTCAATACCCTTTCTACGTTCTTCCCATCTACACGGCCGCAAAGCACGGATGCGTGGGCCTCGTCCGAGCTGCGGCGCCCACGCTGTTCGAAGACGAAGGCATTACGCTGAACGCGATCTTGCCTAGTACCACGAACACGAACATCATCCCGACACCGATTCTCGAGCAGTGGCCTGAAGAGAACTTCACTCCGCTTGAGACGGTCGTACGGGCTTTTGAAGAACTGATCGATGCCAATGGCCGGGTGGTGCCAGACGGATTGAGTGACGGTCAGGACGGGACGGTGAAGAATGGTTGCTGCGTCGAAGCCTCGACAAACCGCCTCTTCTACCGCGAGCCTGTTCCTTTTCCGAGCCAGGTGCAGGAATGGGTCGGGCAGCAATCCAAGAGGGATGGTATTCTTGGCACTTTTATGCGTGGTGTTATGAAGTCCCGAGAGAATTGATTTGAGTCGCGCCGGAGATCGCATCAGCCCACGATTCGTTGGAGTGATGCATGTCATATACATATCCTGTGAACCCTACACGGTGCCGGTAGGCGGCTGGCAGTCTAAGGAGCTATGACCTACCCGCGTTCCTTGCAGCTCCCATCTCTATGCCGCATTTCGAGTCCTGATTGACTGTCAAGGCTGGTTGCAGAAGACACGGCGCAAGAAGCGCTGTTCTTTGGTAAGACGGAGCAATTTCACTCGGCCGACTGTGTCACCGAGCGCTAGAGAGGAATAGTTAGAACTCGCGGGGGTTCCAGCCTCTTGTGCTTGATTCTTCCTCCTGCATGTCCAGCATCCAATGACACGTCCTGAGCGCGACAGAGACTCCGGAGCACCAAGAGGTTCCGTCGGAGAGTGACGTCGCATGACTGGGCGATAACACCCTTCAACATCCCGGGATGGTTCTTATCTGCACTTGACTGCTTGAATCTCTCTTGGCCCTTGACTGTTCTGACCGGGCAATGCGGTACCACGCAAGCAAGGTGCATGATCGGCAAACCATATAGGGCAATGGGAGGTGACCAGGTCCCTGAACCCCCCTCAACCTGATCCCACGTCCAGTTCGCGAATGCAACTTCACTGCTGTTTTGAGTAAGTTCCTGAATGCAGTGCTGCTCGCTGATTGTCTCGCTACGACGTCTGTTCGACGGCTTTCTTATCTCTCTCCCACGTCAAAGGCCGCTGGCTGAGGTCGTCGTTAAGCGTCAATCGCCTCCCTCTATCTTCCATGATGGGGCGCAGATCCCTTCCGTGGAATATAAGGAACGTCGTCGTTCTCCGTCACGCTTGATATAAGGACAGACTTCTCCACCCCTAGCAGACTCCAGGGACGAATACTCGATGGGTCACTGATCAACCAGAAAACACGTCCTCGTCTTCACAGGACTGTCCTGCTGTCCAACCTTCTCGACAGCATGGACTCTGAACTCAGCAGCGACCGTAAGCTCAGTGTTGGAGATAGGAAGGTGTCCATCACAGGGGATGGCGTCGTGCCAGTGACCTCTGTCGGCGATGGCAGAACCATGTCTGCAAGTGTAGCCATCGACCCGGCGGCGGAACGACGTCTGGTGTGGAAATTCGACCTCCGCATCCTACCCACATTGGCGATCATGTATCTCTTCAACGCACTGGTAGGTGCTTCTCCCGAGCTGGCCGTCGCGGCACCCAATGCCCAGCTAACCCACGAATGCTCCCAGGATAAATCGAACCTAGGCAACGCCAAAACGGCAGGTCTCGAGGAGGATCTCGGCTTGAAGGGGGACGACTACAACCTCATCCTCTCCATCTTCTTCGTCCCCTACGTCTTGTCCGGCCCGTTCGTCGGAATGGCCAGTAAACGATTCGGACCCAGTCGGACGCTCCCACTCATGATGATCTGCTTCGGATTCAGCACGCTGATGGTCGTGGCGGTGAAGAACTTCGGCGGCCTCCTCGCTTGTCGATGGTTCTTGGGCATGGTAAGTCCCTGCACCTCGCCCTCGCACGGGAATTTATCTGCAAACTTCTAGTTGACCCTATCCAACAGGCGGAAGGAGGTTTCTTCCCCAGCATCATCTTCTACCAGACTCGTGAGTCACCTGTCCGTCTAATCCAGGCTTAGCATCGATCTGTCGTTGTCTGGAATTCCCTGTGTGTGCGGGTGATCGCGACACCCCCTGCTGACAGTAGTGATCTCCCCTTCCAGTCTTCTACCGGCGAGGTGAACTCGCGCGCCGGCTCGCCATCTTCTACGCGGCGTCCAACATCGCGTCCGCATTCGGCGGGCTCCTCTCCTTCGGCGTCTTCCAGATCCACTCCGGCAGCCTGGCCAACTGGCGGTACCTGTTCGTCATCGAGGGCGCGTGCTCGATGCTTTTCTCGCTCTTCGCATTCTGGGTGCTCCCGTACAACGCCCAGTCGGCGAAGTTCCTGACCGAGGAGGAGAAACAGCTGGCCTTTTACCGCATCCAGGTCGACTCGTCGTCGGTCGTGAACGAGGAGTTCAACCTGCGCTCCGCGCTGGCCATCTTCAAACACCCGACCAGCTGGATCATCCTGGCCATCGAGGTCTGCCTGGGCGTGCCCTTGCAGTCCGTCAGCCTCTTCCTGCCCGTCATCGTCAAGCAGCTCGGCTACTCGACCGTCAAGAGCAACCTGTACACCGTGGCCCCGAACATCACCGGCGCGGTCATGCTGCTGGTCCTGGCATTCGCGTCCGACTACACGCGCTGGAGGTTCCCCTTCGTGGCGCTGGGCTTTGCCTTTACGTGCATCGGCTTCATCATCTTCGCCGCCGTCAATCTCGAGACCCAGATCAACGTCGCGTATTTTGCGTGTTTCATGTAAGTGAGCCGACCGACTGCCAAAAACTGCATTGGATTGGTACACAGCTGGCACAGCTAGCTAGCTAGCTAGCTAACTATACGATGCGCTCTTACTGTAGCAAGTCGCATGCAAAAAGCTAGCTGTTCGACGTGCTCATATCCAAAAACTCAGATGCAAAAGCTAACCATCCCACTCTACGCGTAGGATGACATGGGGCACGTCGGCGCCCAGCGTGATCCTCGACGTCTGGTACAACAACAACATCGCCGACGAGAACAAGCGCGTCATGCTGACGAGCGTGGGCGTGCCCGTCGCCAACCTCATGGGCGTCGTCAGCTCCAACATCTTCCAGAACCGGGACGCGCCAAAGTACCTGCCCGCGCTGGTCACCACGGCCACGTTCGGCGCCGTCGGCTGTCTGCTCACCCTGCTGCTCGGCGCGTGGATGGTCGCGGACAACAAGCGCCGCAATGCCCTCGCCGTGCGTGACGGTGGCAAGAAAGTCAGGGCCCGCGACGTGCCGACCGAGTTGTTGAGGGATGGGCCTGCCGCGGCGGAATATCGCTGGTTTTATTGACCATCTCTTTGCGCGGCGGACGAAGGGCCCGTGGGAGTACGTACTGTATCAGGGGGTCTAAATCGCGCGGGCATTCCGTCTTTGGGGCCATGTCGAGAGTGCGTGATGTACAGTACAGTAGGAGGCCAGGCGAGGCGAGGCGAGGCGTAGCAAGGCGACGTCCTTGGGGAGTTGGACCGATTGACTGTCAAAAGTCGGACATCGAACATCGAATACAACTCGCACACCATTACGTTGAACGGGCGCTGGGCTCGGAAAAGAGTCGCAAAGCAAGTCGAACCAGATTGATGCCTGCTTGTACCGGTATCGTCGCAGTGAGCAACCGCCTTTACATGATTATACGCACCGCAATTTCAAGCCTCATAATCTACAACAGCACTTTCCAGCCCGCAATCGACCATAGGATCTGGAAAATAGCGCTTCCCGTTTGCTCAGCGGTACTCAAGCCAGATGCCGGTCAGTTAGTACTAAGGTCGGTGACGACTTGGGAATCCTGGCTGTTGATTGTTTTTTTTTCGTCTGTTTTTGCTGTTTTTGCTGTGCTGGCCGTAGCAGGGGTCGATTGGTTGTCCAGCTCGTTGGCGTTGCTTGCAAAGCACCGTACGAACCCAATGAGTTCTGGGAACGAAGCACAGCGACATGATCCAGCATCTCAAAAGGTATCATTCGAAGCCAAAAAGGGGGGTATTTGCGTACTAACTCTGCTTGCTACAATTTTCAACTCGGCCAGCAACAGATGGAAAGACTGCGTTTGAACCACTGAGCTCAGCTCAATGTACGCGGTCTTCTCTTACTGCTCTTCTTGATCGCTCAATCGCTTCCGATGCTCCTCCCCTCCAACACAGCAAAAGTCGACAAAAGAAAAAGGGGTCTCCGATAGCCTGTTCTGCTTACTTTGTTGAATGCAAGCCAACAGTCCATGTTGTCCCAAGGCTAAGGATGTATTGTGTCATGACTCGTGTCAGGTCGTGAAAAACCAAGGCACTGCAAATGCAAGGGATGGAGAACAAACACACACGCCACCCATACCTTCCCATCCCTCAGCCCAGCAAAGTAACCGTGTTGCCTTTCAGTTCTGCCTGTCAATCTCTCAATCGAACATCCTTGCCTAGTGGCAACCGAGTAACATGCCAACCAAGGATGTCGTTGATTCACCGAATTGTCCGCGTCAATAGATACTGGCTGATAATTTTCTGGGTGCCCCTGCCATAGTACAGCTATTGTACAGCGACGATTCACCCTACCGAACTCGAGATTGGAGAGGAATGGGAATTCCACCAAGGCTCTGACGCGGTCCGGATGGAAGGCCGTTGGCTGCATTCGATGGTAGCGTCCGTCGATTGAGGCGGTTGGTCCTCCAGCGCTCATAGAACTAGCAAGCAGTTAACAAGGAATCCATGACACAACAGGCAGGAGGAAGTCGAGACTCACCACTTCCCGGCTTGCCTCTCGCAGCTCGGACCGCCATTCACCAAACACCGCATCCTTCAGTTTGACAAAGTCGCAGTGGCCCGGATTATAGGGGTCTGCAAATCCCCAAGGAAATTGCCGGCCGACAGGGCCATCTTTTGACTCGAGGGAATATTTGTCTGGGCTGAGAATGGACCACGGGACATAGCCACTATCCAGAGAGGCGTCTTCACCAGAGACTTGGCGGTTGTGAGTTTCTGATCGTTTTCTGTTGGGGAAGTTCCGATTGCCTTCGGAGTCATCACTCCTGGCTGAAGCGGCTTCTTCAGAGTCGGCGGTGCTGCTGTCTTCATCCTCATCCCGCTCGTCGAGACGCTCGTCGTCCGAATCTGCAACATCGAGGTTGAGAGCTTCGAGCGGATCAAGGCCCGCCTTCTTCAGACTTCTGCTGACTTTTTGCTTGAGGAATGACATATGGGCTGTTGTTATAGTGTCTGCTTTACTGATGACGGGTATGACGGTGGTTTTGTTGCCCAGAGTCCTGATGACTTGGATATCAAAGTCCTCGTCAAGAGCACCAACAATTCGAGGTGGTTTCCCGATCCGACTGGTCTCCGTCCCACTCGTGATGCCTTGTGCCGCATTGATATTTGCATCGAGCTTTGCTGGATCAAGAATAAAGAAAACGCAGTGGATGTGGGTATCTCTGACTCCAGGAGCACGAACAACTTTCATCTCTTCAATGAAAGTGTCGTCAAACTTGCTTTCCACGAAATTGCTCATGTCTCTCAGTTGAAGGTCTACCACACTTTTGTCCAGTCCGAGAGAGTCCCACAGCGTAAGACCTATCCTTTCGCCATCGACGTCGATCTCTTGGTAATGGTGGGTGAAACTGGGATTGGGCCTTGCTGACGACGGAGGTGTGTCGCCATCAGGAGCTCGAGTCGGCTGCTTTTTGGATGGCAGAGCTAATGAGCTCTTCAGAAAGTTGAGGAAGGACGTCTTGCCCGCACCCCGAGCACCGATGATGAGGACATTGTATGGAGTGGGATCTTTACGGCGCCGGACTCTTCGCGGGGAATTGATGGTAGAGACAGTCGAGTTTGCGTATGAATATCGACCACCTGAAGAATCATGTCAGTTCGGAGGTCCTCACTGGCAAACCTGACGCAAACTCACGATGGGTCATGCTTTCTGTGCGAGCATATGGGTCAACAGCCTCTTTCTCCATGTGTACAGGCAAAGGAGGGACCGGGGGGGCATGAGTGTCGCCATTGGTGTATTCCCTGGACGCCGCGCGAGGCCTGTAGTTCTCTCCGCCAAACGACTGGATGCCCAGCGGCTGAGGATTGTAGTTCGGAAGGCGAGGAGGGGATTGAGCGACCTTCGCAGTCTCGTCCATGTCCTGCGTCTTCTTCTTCAATCGGCCTGCCGAGCTCTTGCGTTCACCCAAGGCTTCGCCGCTCTTTGACCGGAACAGTCGAGAACCAAGGCTAGTGCTTCTGCGGCTGGAGGCCTGCGACTCATTGCGCGACAGAGCAGCTGGGGAGGTCATGATGTCGGAGGAATCAATGGAGTGTTCGGGGAGGGCTGCTGCCGATTGAGCAACTCCAACAGAGTTCTGACAGCAAGTGCGGGCAGGTGCAGGCGCTGACGTGAGGAGAAGATCGTGGTGATCGCTTGGTCGGTCCGGGGGTGCACTGGAGATGCCGTGTGCTCGTTCATTCGCAGGACAAGGGCAGGCTCAGATGCAGGTGCGATAGGGGTATCGGTATGGTTGCGATTAGGTGGAAGAAGTCAGGGGCGCCCAGCGCAGATGTGCAATTCAATCGACACTCGCGAGTGCAGCGTTGCGCAAGATTGCAATAGTGTTGAGTCAGATGTGTGTCCCGGTTGTACGATGGACGCCGGAGAAAAGTGAGGGAGAAGTGAAGTTCTGTCCAGCGCAGGAACGACAATGGCAGCTGACTTTCTCTTCGAGCGCGGCAATCCGAACTGAAAGGGCGTCTGGCTGCCCGAGGACCGAATATGGGGTAAGCTTTAAGGGACGTGCCGAGTCCAAAGAGAACTGCTGTCGACTACTGCACCTGCACCTGCGTTAGAGGCGCACACGTGGACGGCGTGACAGCGGCGAGGTCCAGAAGTTTAAAAAGTCAATATAGCCACATGGGCGTCAGTCAACAACGAACGCCGTGAAGTGAAGAACTGAAGTTCGAGAAAGTGAAGGAAAAAGTGTCAGATAGACGAGCAGGAGATCAAGTGTTCCCTCTTCGCTTCCTCCTCATCTCTGGTGACCTCGCTACTGATCATTCCCTATGTCGGAGAATATTCAAGGGCACTCTCTTCCCAAAGGGCCTTGGTGGTCCCCCTACCGTCGCAGCCCGCAAGCCGACTGGCGGTGGGCCATGCAACAAGGGTCTGCTATTGGCTATGGGCTCAGGGCGGGCTTGATCGGGGCACGAAAGCTTTGCTTGTTTCAGGTTTTCTGTAACACTAACTATCGGCTTAGAAAGTCAGAACAGTGCCTTGTACAACAGCTCCCCCCTGGCCAGATGCTGGTGCGTCCCTGTTGCTTGCACGACCACGGCAGTTGACTTTCTCCTTCGCCGTCATCTGCCTTTGGTGCCATTATAGACCACGCATCATTGTACGTACACTGTCACGTCGACCTCACAGCTTGTGCAATGACCTTCCGTCCACACTGGGGCGCGTTCAATTTCGGCCATCATGAGTTGGAAACTGGCCTCCATTCCCGGCCGGAGTAGAATGTTTGACTGATCGGACAGCCATGGAAAAGATGCCACGGCGTAGGAGAAACGGTCGCCATTGAACCTCCATCCCCAGCTGGCGATAATGAAGTCCATCAGCTTGTCAAGCCCATCGCATTGTACCAGAGAGACCGGAGCAGCGGCACCAGCAAAGCCATCCAATCTCACACGGAGGATGGATTTCACTGGATCAAAGTCATAGTCGCTGTTAGCCTCTGGCGACACGGCCGTGGACAGGATCGAGCTGGAGCGACGTGCATTGGTGGCACTCTGATTGTGGGAGGCAGAAGCTTTGGCCTTGTTCTTGGTCGAGTTGCCACTGGAGACCCGGGCTTTTTTCTTCGCTGGTTCCTTTTGACTCCCCTCGATCTCTTGTTGCACCTTGTTTTCAATTTTCTTCGTGCTGGTTTGTTGCCCAGTCTTCTGTGCTATGTGTTTGTGCTTCTCGAACTTGAAAGGGTTCGTCTGTTGAAGAGTCCTCTTTCTAAGGTTACGCTCAGTCGGCATGTGGTCTCCCTTCTCGTCTGCGCTTTCATCATCCTCCATATCACTATGATCGGTGGCAGGATCCTCCTCAACTTCTGGTCGTAGATTGCTCGCGGTCTGCAGATTTTGATGCCTGCTGCTGCTTGCAGGTTGAGACTTCGCCGACAACTGCCCAGACTTCGAAGCAGGAAGTTTTCCACGCGCAGGAGTGGCCGCGGGGCGATCAGGTCTTGGGTTTCTGCGAACGGTTATTGGTGATGAGGAAGTTGGCGTAGCCATCATAGGAATCTGACTTGGTACAGGCGGTGGCGGTTTAGTGTCGTACTTCGAGGGTCTCCTGTTCTCTATGTCGCTGACATGGGTAGGCTCTTCCTTGACGGCAAGTTGAGATAGGTATGGTCTGGAGTCCTGTCGCTGGCTTGCACAGTCTGCACCAAATTCATCACTAAGGTCCAACTCTCGCTCTGGGGATACTGTGGTCGCAGATTGGAAATAATTTCCGCTGGTGGAATACATGACATCGGGATCTCCAGTGAAGTCTGGAAGCCCGGAAGTTGGCGGACTGGGCGGCGCGTTGCCCTGGGGCGGTGTGATGGTTTTGGTCGCGATCAGGATATCGTCCTCATAAATAGGGAATGCTGGTAAACGTGCCATTTGGGGTGATAGAGACATGAGCAACATTCTTCTGTCGGCGGCATAGGATCAGTTGTCCCCAGCACAGCAGAGGCAGTAGCAGTGCAGTATGACAAAGAACGGGAAGGCGATCTGGTGACAGTTGAGTCTGGAAGGGTGGGAGAGTGAAGCAACTGAGAAGTGAAGAAAAGAACGGAAGGTAAGTGCGCAAAACCTAGAGCTGGCATGCCAAAGAAAATCACGGCTTTGCACCTGCTTATACTGCCTTGACTCTGCCCTTCAAGCCGATGAGCCGTTCTGTCTCTCACTTCTTTTACTCATAACTTTCTTCAGCAATCCCAGATCGATTGGCACCCGCTCACCAAGCCAAGTGGCTCTCTGACTATGGTCTCTCAATGCATCCTCATCCTCATGGTTAGGGTGGACCAACGCAGACAGCGGTCCACGATTAATGACTAGCCACGGTATGAATGCTCCGAATTGTGCAGGTGTGAAGACATTGACTTCGAACATGGCCATTGTGTGAGGCCCGACAGGTTTATCCCATAGTCGATAGATCCTGAAATACCAGATCAACACCAAGGGACACATCCATGGGAGAAGACATACCTCAGCTCCGGAAACTCGAGGCGAATCCTCTGCCATAGCGCTTTGGCATACTCCTTCTGCTCCTCACTATTGTGATGGTAGTATATGTGAATATCGAAGCCCCCTCGACGACCATTCATGATGCCAGAGGTAAACTTGTCATAGCTCGGGCTCAGAACACCTGTCTGTGGATTCTTGAAAGACTTCCCGTCTTCGTTTAGCTCATCCGGAAGAGGCGCGTGGTCTTCGTACCCTGCGAGGGGCGAAGGAAAGGTGTACAAGAACGGATCAGACATTAAGCTCGGAGGAACGGTTTGAAGCTCTGAGCTTGATATGGTTCTCAGCAGCGGCCAAGGGCATTATATTTGCAGTTCTATCAAGACCACTTGTGACCGGATCATCTTGGACCAGACGCGCAAATCACTAGACTGAGGCCCCACTATCGGCCGACATCAATCAGCAATTATGTCAACGTGCTCCGGAAACCGCGTCTTCATCCTTGCACCCCGGAATTACCTCCGATCGCCGAATTTTCTGCATCTGGCAGCAAAGATACTGGGAGATGTCTCTCGCCATGATCTCGGAACGAGAGGGTGATGCAAATACATCCATAATGTGTCATGCTATCTTCAGCAGGCTCCTGAGCAGCAACCTGATATTGCACGGATGTTGTGTCACCCCGTTATTCTCCACGTCCCCAAACCCTCACTGAGCCATCGCCTTTCAATTGATACAGCCACTCTGCGTCAGGCAGAGCTTTTGTATGGCCTAAATTCGAGATCTCACTCTCGTCATCGCCTCTATCACCGCCCTTACTGACCCTGATAACACCGGAAACATCCTTCGCGCTCCCAGTATCCAACCCTCTGAGCTGGAATACCCACCGACTTCGATGGGCCATGGACGTCAAGAAATGCGCATGATTGCGTTCCAAGGGCGTCCCGTCGTCGTAACTGCCAGACATAGCGGTTTGCAGGAGCGGAACATCGGCATTGCAGGTGAGTACCAGAGCGTGAGACTGCATCTGTAACGTTGAAAGGAGTGCTTGCAATGATACTGTGGAGATGGAGGGCTGGCAAGCCAGGAGGAAATCAATGCCGTCAAGAAGGATAAGTGGTTTCGCGTCTGCGGTTCCTGTAGACGAAGAGGAGGTGGATGCCGTCGCATATGGAACGGCCGGAGTACTTGATGATCTGCCCGCTCCCGAGGTAGTGGTTTCTGTCGTTGCCCTAAAGGAACTTTTCAAAACCACATTCATAGAGTACCGTAGCTCGTTCAAGGTCAAAGCTTTGAGCCTGGTCGTTGATAGCAGCGAGGAGTCTCCAGGTCCTGCTGGGGAGGAACCATCAGCAAGCCCGTCGACGTAGACAACCTTCTTGCTCCGGAGTAAGGCTTGAAAATCCAGACCCTGCAAAGGATGTAAGCCTCTCCATTTCCATACGGTATGAGAGCCAGACGCTTTAGAGAAAGGTATGCGGCACCGGAAACCAGGGCTGAAAGGCTGAGAGCAACAAAGACGAAAGCGTACCATTTTCTTCCCCATCTCAAGCCATAAACTTAGCGGTCGCAAAAGACTCACAAAGACCACTGGCCTCTCCCCCAGCCTGACTTCATCTGGTCCCGTGCCGACTTGTCTGGCTTCTCCGTCATCCCCAACGCCGTATATGGCCGCGTAGACGAATCGCAGCAGCAGCCATGGTGAAGGCGTGACAAGCACAGAGGTAATGAGGGTCTGGCCGTGAAGTGAAGCAAGGCTGGACTCCAGGTAAGAGACCAGCGGTGGAGGGATTGCTGGGGGCATTTGCGTCTCAGTAGATGAGTAGTTAGCAGCGAGAAGTGGCCTGGAGGCTTTAGCACGGGAGAGCCTCAAGATACTCCACGTAGCAATCACGGGTGTCCCAGGAATATTCACACAAATAGAAGAATGGGTTCAATCAGAAGATAAGAAACTCATGACTAGCCATGCATGGGTGGTGCGGACGACCATATCGTGAGCATCGAGGTGACAAAATGCAATGTGAAAGACAAAAATGAGGACGAGGTTACGAAGTAGGAGTATGAATTTTAAATATTTTTCCATTCATGCATGGCCTTCTTGATCCGGCCCACTTTGCAGATTCTATGGGGTGGCAGGCCAATCCGCCGCCCAACGACCACGATAGAGTATTCGACGAACTCAGGCCGAAAATAGACGGTGCGCTGATGAATCCTGCATCGTTCCGACTGGTAGAGAGAGACTGATAGAGAGAGAGAGCAGTCCTCTGGAGTCAGTCATGTCCCTGCTCCTGCGTCCGGGTTATCTGTCTCCCATGCAACATCTCAGCGCGATTCCACCTCACACGTCCTCGAGGCCCAATGCAATGCTCCTGATCTTCGCCGAAAGATGGTCCAGATGAGAACCTGATACGCGATCTGCCCCTGTCCACAACAGCGTCTCGTCGTCCCCTTGTTTATGCCTTGGCAGGTCCTCGTGCACCCTTGGGTGCGCCGGATTGGAATCCATTGCTAGCTCTCCTGTATTGACAATATCATGTCAGCCACTATCCTCACGGGTTCTGTTTGTTGATGCCTCCTCTCTTCCATTTCGCAAAGGCTAACTTCTCAATGGCCTTCGCGGGAAGGACATTAGTCTCGCCCTCGGAGATCCGGATCATCGGGCCGCATTCTTCTCTCTCCATCCGACTGTGACGATTGCCACAGAACGAGTTGGATCATAGTCCGACCTCCGTATTTGCCGTACGATCAAGAGGGGATGGATTAGCGTGCTGTTCTTACCTTGCAACCAACTTCAAATGCCTCATCCGTCCAGTACCAGTGGTCTTGCGTCTCTTGGCCTTCTCGCTCCATTCGTACTTGCGGGTCTTTGCAGCGGGATACTATCGGCGCATCGAGTCAGTTTTAATATTCCAACAATCTTGGGGGTAGTCCCGGGAGGCTCGTCGAGGAGAAGGTGGATGGCAGTTGTCGCTGAGGAAAGAGGTCGAGTAAAGGAGGACGGAGAGAGTCTAAAAACGTACTCCACAGTTCGCGCAAGTGTGCTTCTGAATGTGCAAGCTTCGACGACCGCACCTGTATCAATCCGAGTCAGTTGCTTTTGTTCTCTTCAATTTCACTGTCTTTTAAGGTCGAGTTGAAGGTCAGGCTAGAGGATGTATCGCAATCACTGACCTCCGGCAAAGAGTGTGAGTCTTATTGTGTCCTAAACATCCCAGTCAGAAACCATGTCTCCCATATGTTTCAACCTAGGTTGAGGGTTGGTCCTTTGCTCACTCTTGCCGAACGAACTTGTTCCCTTCGTCATGTTGGCTGATTATCGAGGAGACGGCCTGCAGGGAGTCAATGGCTTGTCGGATGCAATTAGGATCTGGGAGATTCGTACGGGAAATGGTTGTGCGGGTAGGAGACGTTGTAACAAATGTTTCAATCTCAAGACTCCAAGTTCGCAGCATGCAGTTCGGGACCACCGCAGTTTTTCGTGCGGCCAAGATATCTTGCCAAGCTTCCGCTTAGTCATTTACAGCCTTGTCCCCACTCACCCACCATTCACCCACTACTTGCTGGGAGGAGCCTTCGGAGCCTTATTGGCTGGACTAACCAGGCCAACAAGGCTGTGTCAAGCCTCTTCTTAAACATGGAGCAGACAGAAGTCTCGAAGACCACAATGGCTTGATTGCTCTACAGTTTACCGAGTCTTCTTGAAACAAAGAAGAAAGATACAACCGCTCTGGGAGAAAGGTACAGGTATACAAGGACACCACGTACACGGCAAACCAGGAGCGCAGAATGATTGTCCAATCTTCTAAGCTGGCCCCAGGAAGGCCTCTCTCTCACACCACAAGAGACAAATTACCAGCATGACGTCTTCCTGAAGACGGAGGACAGTATCAGGATTTTGCTTCTATCTGCCAGTATCCTATTCCTACTAAATAGAAAACCGTTGCGCGACTGGAACGAGGAGCACGGTCTCCCCCGATCTCGGCGATGAGCGGATGGGCACACAATCAGACAGTCACTTTGATATCCGGCAAGGTCTGCACTGCCGAAGTCATGCGGATATCTCGGCTCGTCAACCATCAGCTCACGCTTCACCAATACGACAACGCCAAACCAGGACAAGTACCGTGCTTCCCACGCCGAGAAGCAAATGATCGCATTTATCTCGTCAGCCATCATGTTTTCTTGGAGCCGGAAGTCCGCGAGCAAGATGGAACTGAAGACGTGGTAAGGAACAGTTGACCTCTAAAATGCAAAAGCTTGGGCTTTCGTCCTGCAATCGATCAATCACTTAGGCGGCTTTGCTTTCATAGCACCACCAGTTATGCACAGACGGGCGCTCATTTTGGTTAGCCAGGCGCCCTGTGCGGACTGTGCGACATTCATCGAGCATGTAAAGAGCAAGCTGGGTTTAGGAATCATATTGTCGGACTGGGGAGGGTCACAACGCGGACCGTGAAAAATGAAGAACGTACAGTACATCGCGGATTACCGGAGAAGCTGCTATGCCAACTATGGAGATTAGCGCACAAAAGCCCGGAGCGCCCCTTTCCTATCGTGTCTTGCAAAACCGTCTGCGACACCGTCTATATACCGCACAACCCCCCGTAATTGTCTACGCTGCGAGACGATTCCACCGCAAAGGCGAGCGCTTCAACAACCAAGAAGGAACCTGTCTCCCGGATGCCGGACTGCCGGACCGGGAGGCCGATGCCGTCAATGCCGAGCTCGAGGCAGTGGCCGTGCCCGTGCCAAAGCTCGCGATCAGACAGCTGCACGCACTGCTGACTCTCTTGGCATCTGCAGAGCAACCGCCCAAGAGAGTAGGCAGCGATGTGGTGTTGGAGGTAGTCGTTGTATACTTCGAGCAGAAGTTGCGCATGGAGGACGAGTAACGTGGGTCGATCATATTACGCAGACAGTTGTCTTGATTGCAGAACATCTTGGGTGTGGGCAGTGGCGACGGTGTCACAGGGTTGACCGCGTTTGTGCGAGAGCTAGAGGTCGCCGTGGGAGTAGTGGTAGTCAATATCGGTCCCGAGGCTGAAGTTGATGTTGGTCCAGGTGAAGTTGGAGTTGGCGTGCTGGTGTTCGCTAAGCTAGTGGTGGTGCTGACAGTGGAGCTGGCAGTGCTCGAGCTAGTGTTGACCGTGCTGGAAACCGAATCAGAAGGAAATGTTGAGGTTAAGGCACTCATGCTCGACGATGAGCTATCCAGGGATGCCGAAGAAGTTGATACGGTCGACGAAGAGGACGGCTGAGTCGTAGTTGTCGAACTAGAAACGACGCCAGAGCTTGAGTCGGAAGGAGTTGTCGTTACCGTTGAAGAGATAACAATCTGGGCAGGCAGATTCAGAACTTGCCCAATCTGCAAGTTGTCCCAGTCAACATCGGGATTGGCAGCATTTAGTGCATCAAAAGAACAACCATTCTTGTCTGCAATAGCCCAACCAAAGTCGCCTGCGACCACCATGTACGACTGAATAGGAGCAGTGGAGGTAGTAACGCTGCTTGTAGAACTTGAACTGATGACCGCAGCCGCGCTTGAGCTTGTGCACGTGGGCGAGGAGGAGGCGGTCGTTGTCGCCGTTGATGCTGAAACGACAACGCTTATTGTACTCGAGGAGAGGGCCGTTGGGTTTGTGATAGCCATCGTGCTTGAAGAACTTACAATTGTCGAAGTAGTCATTACGGAACTCGTCATCGTTGTTGTGCTTGATGTACTCAGGGCTGCACTAGTTGAAGTGCTGGGCGCTGTGTTGGATGAAGTCGTCGTTGTGCTCGGAGAAGTCTGTGCAGTAAACGTTGATGTGGTGGTCGTTAGGATTGGTGAAGAAGTAGTCGAGACTGTAGTGGCTGAAAAGGGAGTGCTGCTTGTTAATGACATCGAAGTAGTCGTCGAAGATGCCGCGCACGTCCCACCAGGAACCACCAAGACCTGGCCGATCAACAGTTTATCCCAATCCACGCCAGCATTAGCGGCCTTCAGAGTGTCGAAGTTGACGGTCAACTTCTTTGCAATCTTATCGCCGTCGTCGCCTGCGACAACTGCGTATGCGCATGGTAGTGTAACTGTCTGATTTGAGCACTGCACTGATTTGTACGTCCCGTCGAACGGATAAGGGTACTTGTAGCTGGAGCATGTGTTGCTGGTCGTGATCTTGACAGACTTGACATAGGCGGAGAATGGAGCTGTGCTGAAATCGGTGTAACCCCCAGCCCACTGGACGGTACCCTGAGCTGAGTCTGGGTCTCCAGCGCACCACATGCCCAGATGGAGGCGAGATGGCGTTTGGGGGTATTGGTACGAACCAGTGGTTGCTCCGTTGTTGTTCAATGTTCTCACCGGCACACCGTCAATGGACCAGACTAAGCGATCGGGTTGCCAATCAAGGGCATATGTGTGGAATTTGTCCTGAGGAGCGTCAACTGCAGGATAAACACCTCGGTCGGACCAACCAATTTGGCCTTTGCCGAAGTAATTGGTCAAGACGGAGCCGCGACCTTGACCGAAGTTGTTGCCGGAAAATTCCCAGTCTATCTCGTCCAGGTCGTCAGACATCATTACCGCACCTGTGATGATGCCTCCACCTGAGGCAACTTTCATCACGACCTCGATTCGGCCGAAGTGAACGTAGAAGCGGGACCAGATGTACGGCGCCTCGTGTCGTTTGGTGATTGTGAAGTTCGCGCCGTTGGAGTAGGCATAATCAACCTTTGCATAGTCCGCAAGGATCCAATCTGGAGGAGTCGTCGTTTGTCGGGTGAAATCCATGAAGTATGTACTAGTGGTTAAACCAGGGATCGGAGGACATGCTGTGGTGACTACCAAAATCAGCAAAACGCTATCCCGACGCGTAGATGTACTAACCGTTGAGTGGATTACATGGTATGGCATCTGCTGCCACCGACCCAAGAAGGCCAGCAATGACTATTAGTGCTACGGGAAAGAAATTGAGACGCGCCATTGTTGCAGGAGAAGTCGAGGACCGAAGTTGCAAAAAGTCTGTGGGAGTTCCAAAGTCGCAGGTCTGGTGATGCTTGCTAAGAGGTAGAATAGTAGGGGTGAGGCAGATGTTGTGGGAGTGGCAGACAATGAACCTCACCTTCCACCTACCTGCACACCTAGTGAACGTCGACAAAGGACATTGCACAAAGAGGTCCGCTTGCACACAGCTTGAGAAGTTCTATTTTGGATTCTGACCCATCAGGCTCCATATTCATCAAAGTCTTTGAAGCGCTCATTGTTGAAGCTGCTCGCCGTTCATCGGATGAGGTTGCACTGAAGCTCACTGTTGATTGCAGCGCAAAGTTGGCATTGGGATCACGAGGCCGTTCGGAGGACACTAGTTGCCTCATGAGCTCTCACTAACGTCATCTCTTTGTGCATCTCAAACGGCAGGGCAGTGCGCTACAGCAAGTATAAGGGCATCTGGTTCTGGAGGATGAACTTGTAGAGACAAGTCGCGAGGGAACAGAAATTGACATCAGAGTCGCGTTCGCGTTGTGCCAATGGTGCGGCGCGTTCAACCCGAAGTTATTCCGACACAATACACTTGCCGCATTTGGAGCCTCAAATATGTACCAAGCTTTTACGAGTCTGGTGTTGAATCCACTCCGAAACTCTCTCACGACAATGAATATTGCATCCAAAATTCCTAGTTGGAAGGAAGTCGTTATGAACCTGGGAGCATGCCGAAGAATCACTTAACCAGGTTGTGCGGTACGTCTCCGTTATAAAAATTACAGTTGAAGAGGAAGACGTTGACGCCAGCTTGCAAGACCGATAACCATACCAACTTCAAAGCATCTCCTACTGAACGACGACACAGGTTGCCCCGGCAATTGCATCGACCAAATACCCAGTTGTAGGCACCACGTTCATACATGCGCCTGGCGAGCAAGATATCTCCGTCTTGTACATAACATTGGTGGCGGTGCTCAATGACTGGGGGCAAGGCGTAGGCGTTGCTGCACAGATCTCGATGATTTGGATTCGATACTCGGTGAAGGGCACAACCTTTGTGAATGTTCTTTGACCGGCATCCAGAGTGATAGCGCCTGATGTAGTGCTTCTTGAAACAAGTCCCACGTTCGTAGTGCTTGTCATTGAGGTGATTGGTCTTGAGCCGCCATCACTGATACTGATGGACGGTGTGCTTGTGGTCCCAGAACCAATCCCACCTGGCGTGCTCGGCTCGGATGACGGAGAGTTAGGCGTCGCATCTGGCTGACATGACTGATCTGGTAGGCATGACGTGATAAAAATTGTACTGGTCGAAGTTGTAGTGGTAGTGGACGCAATGTAGGAAGTAACCACAGCGGACGGGTTCGTGGTTATGAACAGTGTACTCGTTGTTGTGATCTCAATGGACGTCGTTCGACTGGGCACTGGATCGATGTCAGGCGGTTGAGTCGGCGCTCCAGTGAAAGTTGGTTCGGGTTGCGGCTGTTCTTTGGTTAGCAAATAATCAAAGTTGTGGGACTGGACCCAATGGCTTCAGAACCGCCACTGACGGCCACGAAAGACTTACAGTCGCAAATATTTCTCCGTCCGGCCCCAAGATTAGCAGCGCCGAATTCACGAATCCTATGTCCTTGGTCAGCTTCGGTGCAATAGTACTCTGACCGAAGTCGCGAATCTTGATTGTATGGGGGAGAGGGGCAGCACTAGAATCCCACGCTGAGAGGAGCCGCGGCATGCCTTGAATAAGGAGCACTCACCTCCTTCTTCAGACGCGAGGTAGACCTCGTCAACACTGCTGTACTGCGTGCAGACAGTATCTGACCCACTATACGAACTAGAGAATGTGACCGCCACACACACTCCCGGTGTGGTGTCGCGGTTGTAGTTCACGCACTCGGTGATGCAGGAGCCCAGGTCGATGGTGTCGGTCGTCTGCGCCAGGACCGTACCGCCATAAGAGTTCGAGCACTGCAATTGCCAAGTGTAGTTCCGTGGCGTCGTGTAGAAATAGCCGTCATACAGGGCACAATCAGGATCGGTCGTGATGGGAGGCGACGACTGTCGCGTCACCAGCTAGATCGCGTCAGTGTATATTGTGCAAGTTGGAAAGATATGCGAACCTTCATGTTATGCCTCTCGGAGTTCCCCCGTCTCACATGAGCATCAAAGGCTTTTCCCAATCCATGCGGTGATAGAATATCATATCCCTTTGAGCCCAGTGTAGCATGTGTGGCAGGGACTTCAGCCAGCAGGCTCAGAAGTATCGAGAAGAGCATCTTGGGTGTCATGTACAAGGCGCAAGCATCGGAGGACGAGGTAAGAGTCGTGTGAGCGGCTGCGAGAGGTACATCTGGTGGTCGCAGGGTCCTATACTCGTTATGTTAACACTGGAATGTGGGCCATCAACATGTCTCATACCTCTCTGTGTGGCCAGCTCTTGGACCATATCGACGTTTTCCTTCCTGGCCAATCAAGGGTATTGGCCCGGCGCCGTCCAAGAGAAATAAACCATTCCGAGGAGTGGGCCGTCATCACTCAAAGTGACACGGCTGATACAGAGAACATTCCATGGTTTGGTGTTGACGGACCGTGGTGAAAGGACGGTGAGGCTGGACATGTCTCGCGGGAAGACCATGCTGCCCTTCAGTATGGGAGGACGAGGCAGGGCCGCGGAGCCTACAGGATACCGCGACTCGGAGACTGGTCGAAGAGGTGAGTTGAGTGCTTTGAGAAATGTAAACAGGAGAGTAGTGTACAGAACAGTCAATGAATGGTGCTGGGGTTGCGTAAGGGCACGGAAGCGAAGGCTTATCTAGCACATCCTCCGACCTAGTGGTCAAAGATGCTCGTATTAGCACCTGCGAGATTGCAAGGTAGCCTGACCACTCGCACACGTGGAGACATCTTCCAAACAATGATGCCTCCAACCGTCGAGTCCCTCGGCCCATTGAGAGAACCGGGCTAACACGGGTCCGGCTCCGCGAATGCTTTAGCCACCAGGTTTCGAATTCCATCCCAGCACGCCTAAAGCTTGCTCCCAGTCATTTCCGTGTGTATGCCTCTTTCGGGGACTTCAAAGAACGACTGGCGTCTGGGCGGAACTGGCGGCTCCATTCTTGGTCCCTGTCGGGAGCAAATCCTTCCTGCAAAAGGAGATTTATGGAAAGGGCACGAGTCATCCAAGACACTCGGCTTGTGTATCCCTCTTCCGGCATTTGCCGAAGATCCGTGCTGTCGGCCTGGAGTCAGGTTGAACTCACTCCATTGCTGGGACGTATGTTGTCCCAGTATCTAGAGATTGCCTTTCTGGCAGTCTCATTCTGGTACTCGGCCCGTGCTCGGAAGTGGTTGAGCACGGCGAACTCAAGGTCAGTCATAACGTAGGTGTCAGGTTGAGCCTGAATTCGGCTCCAGGTTTGGCGAAGGTAGTCCTCGAGCATCTGGTGGATACGTTCGTCAACCTCTCCTGTACTGCTGTTTTGCACGGTCTGGAGGGCTTGTCTAACCGTGACCTCGATCGTTCGTGACATCTTTTGGTGAGATCTGTGGAGGGGGAGCAAACGCGCGATGTGCTAGTATCCAGGGCGCTGTGGGTGCAGATGGCCGGCTGAAGGAGAGAGATAGCGACTATAGAGGCGTTTCAGGTTGCGGACGATTCCATGGCCGGACTTTTCTAAGCTGAGTCAGAGCCTCATAGAGCGACATGCTGGACACACAGACATGGAGGAGCATTGGTAGAGGATGAACGCTGTGGAGGGGTAAACGCTTCCTTGGTAACACCGTGACGGATGAACAATGGAGCACCCCGCCGGTGTAGCCCAACCGCAGCCTGCTAATCAACTAGCGAGGCATAAACATGGCGTTGCTTGGGTCGAGTCGGTGCGTGGGCACATACGATCTGGAAGTCTACGACTCGACGAAATTGGTCGGAACAGCGATGCGCATATACACTTGGTATTTCCTCACATGGCACCCACCTTGCCCGGTGCTGCAACTTGCATCTGTGATGGGATATGGGAACGAAGAGACTCCACGCACACCATTGGCCAAGGCAGATACACCCATCTGAGGTATCCCTGTGACGAAGAGCCGTGATAGGTGGCCAAAAGCCGGACAGCAAGCTCTCCCTGATGATAATCTTGCGTTGCGATTGAGTTTGGAATAGACTTCTGGCGAAGTCACAGCAGGAGTTCGGAGAGGGCACGTGTGGTGGAGCGGAGGAAGCCAGAAGCCAGGTAAAGTCAACGAGCAGAGGAGGCATTAGTCGCACCGTTAAAACGGACCTTGAAGTCAGGTAGTCTGCTGCCCAGAGAATTTCACGGGCGTGTCGAGCGATAGGAGCGAGGACGAAAGCTGGGACTGACTGCGTATGGTGCGGCTCCTGACTGACCCGTCGAATCGAGTGTACCACCGGGTATTTTTCAGCTCGCCTCTGAACTCTATCCGCCAGTGACCCACACAAAAGCACCAGTTTGACTTCTGGAAGCTTGACGTAGGGGAGAGCGTTGTGGGACGAGTTACGGATTCCTGGTGAAGCACCACCAGAGCCGAGGATGAGATCCTTGAGCATGGCACGAGGAGCTCGGGAGCTTGACCCCACGCCGGTCAGGGATATCGGGCCCACTGGCTGACAACCACAACTTTATTTGTCTAGGATCACAGCTGCCTGCATACGGGGATGGAAGAGAATCGGTAACGCTTTCTTTTGGCGTCTTTCTGGTGGTAGGTTGTGGCCAACGCGGATACTCGTGCCGCAACGATCGAAAGAAGACGATCGCAGCGCAAAGTCGGAGACCCATGTCCACGGCCAGGTGTTTTGTCGACCCGGGTATAACGGAAGGCTAATGCATCGGACCCCTTCTGGTGGTTGTCCCGGTTGCTCCAGCACTAGCATCTCGGAGAGGGCATACTGACATTGTTGATTTGTGTTTGTGTTTTCCAGTTGTCAGCACCCCGGGCACATCGTATCACGGCTTCGTCGATGAAAGTCGATTCGACCGTAAGACTGTGCGTCGGGTACGGGGTGCATGACCACCACTCAAAAACTCTCAGGCCTGGGCAGTCACACGAAGCTGTAAATATCCAGTAGCCCGTATCGGAGCAGTCGTGCACCATGACTGGAGCGGCCCGCCTGCTCTGATCAACGAAGCTACGGTCGTATGCATGCCGAGCGGCGCACTTGTGCATTCTTGCTTGAGGTTGAGAAACCCAAAATGAGAAGACTGAGAGGGTGGATATCCAGAGCCCTTTCTAGCAGTGCATGAAGGTGACGCCATTGGTGAAGCCCCACGCACCACGCGTTTGCTGGTTGCATGCAGTGGCATTGGCACCTCCGCTGGTCGTAGCTAGGCGAGGATGCAAAGACGATCCTCGAGCTCACCGTTGTTTGGAGCGGTACGAGGCAGCGGGATGCGTCAAACACGAACCGCCCAATGACCATGCGCTAATGACAGACACCTAATTAAAATACTATCTGCCGGATGACGAAAGGTATGGCGTTTTTGTGTTTGCTGGCTCGGCCCATTCTGATCCTGGCTCCATTCCACGAACACTCGGTTGCCGCGCCGCAGCTGATGAGTTACGGATGCTGAAGCAGCAAGGGCAGGTTCGAGTGTCGAGGGTAGGCGCTAGATCCCCGCCGGTTCTGCACAAAAGCATACACGCGCTCGTTACGACCTTGGCTTGCCGGATTCGCGTCATGCCCCGAAGTGAGGACTGCTATCCAGCCAGTGACCGAGCACAACGAGTGCTCGAAATATAGGCACGGTGTCCGGAATTGTAATCTCTAAAGCCTTAGTTTGCTTTAGATCCCTCGCCTTCAGGGGATCCCTCCGTTCCCTCTCTGATCTGTTCCCCCGAACGGGGGTCTGATAAGTATTCATACCGGCTACATCCATGCGATTGGTAGCACGGATGACGTTGACGAGCTCCCTGAACCCTCCATGCACGAAAACGGTGATGAGTAGAGTCAACTAATCGAAGGCTGCGGATGAATCTAGAAGACAATGAGTCGAGCGGAAAGGGTGTCAGAACTGACCATCGCGCTATAGGCATTTCAGCACTCAGTGTTATAGAAGAGCTTAGGATACTTTCCTTCCTTGGAGAAAAAAATTGGTCGACACGAAAGAAAGGTAAAGTGAGGAGATGCTCAATGCGTGTATGGCAAACTTTCAGCTGCCGGCAGCTCTTCCGCGTGTGATGGGATAGGCGAACCCCATGCTAGACTCGAGCACGACCAATACAAGTCAATAGTCCGTTGGGCTGCAACATGGACGAGAAGGCAGCGAGTGAATACTGTCGATCCGAAACTCGAAGGCTGATCATGCAATGCAAGACTTACAAGAGGTGCTGCACATCAACCGTTAAACTGCCGCTCATCCTCACCTTTTCAGATGTTCAAGATGCGGAGTGGCGCTTGTAGCCAGAAGGACTGGGTGGTACGGCTCACTTCGGGCTGCCTGCTATACAGCGGCTCTACTCCGTCCAGTTAATGGCTTTCCGAGCGAAGTTGCAGGGTGGACTGAGGCAGGATACAGGCGTGCTTTGTGATATTCTGACTCGCGATCGAATGGGACAAGCCGATCTTCCCGAGTACATATCATGCAATCGTGGAGTTCGACGCCCTCGCCTTCCCTCATCTGGCTCGAGGTTTATGCACGCAGTTTAGAGTTTGTGTGAAATCCGGCATCAAAATGAACGCTGAGGTTCTGAGAATGCTCCTGAGGAACCTCTTGGGCAATGTCCTCGGAGACCATAGCTTGGAGATTATAGCTTGCAAGCCCATGCAGACGTCGCCATGATCAAGAAGATGAGCGATATACCGTATTGCTTGCGGCATTCTCGTTGCTGGTGGAGCAGGTGTCATGAGCTGCAGGGAACCTTTGCGCGAGTGCTCCGTAGTGGGTGCGTAGAGCGCCAAGATTCTCGGGGCGCAGAGGTGGCAAGGACCAACAAAGCCAAGCTCAGCGGCGGCCATTTGTAGCTGTGGGGACCTTTACCGCGACAGACGTCAATGAGGACGGGCACACGGGTACGTACCTCTAACCTTCTGTTCTTCGAATCGATGCACGATGATGTTTTCTTCCGAGATCATGGCTCTTAATCGGGGTACAACCGGCTGCGAAGATCTATGGATTGCCATATGAGCTTTTCCATAACCTCCCTTCCTAATCCCCCACGGGAACGCAAGACGCATGCCAGCACCGAGTACCTTGGAGTCGACGTTGATCGACAATTCCGTACTTCAAGAGCCGGGGCAAGATCCGGGTTTCGTTCAACACGGAGTCCAGGAGTCAACCACCCTACCTTTCCCCGGATCCGTGACTCGGCCAGTTACTGCATGATGTGCACGCGGGTCTCCAGCGTATCGCGCCAATATTTTGCTAACCTGAACGGGTTTTCGCGGGCGAGAGTCGTTACAGTAGCGCAAAGCTTACGTTACTGGGTACATGCACAAAACAGCTTTGCCGCTTGCACGCATGACCATGAGGACGCGTGCATCGGTAGCGTTCCGACGTGACAAGGCTGGCATATGCCTTTCCTCGGCTCTTCGAGTTTCCCACTTCTCCATCCGTAGAGACCAGAAAAAATGGTAGCCTTTACAGTATCACACAGTCCTTCCTCTTCCGCAACCGGATAAATAGTCGCCTAGGCTGTTGCCATCTGTCTGGAGCATGTAGGCTTGCCATTACAAGCGGTGCAATGGATTCAGATTGACGATGGTGTGCTGCTTCTACGCCTGTAGCGACTAGGCACGGGACCTGGATCTGCCGCACGCGAACGATTAGTGCCTATCCCGGACCACACCCCGAAGTCACATGCAGAATTGTTGCAGTATCAGTCTGTGCAGTGGCATGGTGATCTTCAGAATGATGATTGACTCATTGAGGCACCCCCCTACAAGAGATCCTGACACTGTCCTTGTTGCTTCGGTTCGGCAAATCCGTCCTATGTCGGTAGTTCCGAGACACGTATGATTGATTGTCCAGGCTGAGGTTTCTTTCCTGAATTATCCTCACTAGCCCTTATTATGGCCGAAAGCAGAGCGCGACACAAGGGCAGAGGAGCAGTGAGGAGTCCAGAGCAACCCAGACAGGGCACCGTGAATGCCCCGTCATGGGGCGAGCAAATACTCCACCGGACTGGCCAGACTGTAGTGCGGCTGGCTACGGGAGAGTAATAATCCTCGATCGGTCGTTCTCTCGAAGTGATCAATCAATCGTAAAGACTCTCTCATTCCCTTCACAGGCTGAGCGGACACAAAACCAGTGCTGGGACCGTTGTTATCCGGGACCCTATGTGAGACTGCGTGCTTACTCCAGGCACTCGATCAAAGCATATTAGCAGCTGCCCTACGTTGTGACCAGCACCTCCGAATCTTGATTTCTGGGACGATCAAATGGTGTACTATTTCAAGTCGACTGTGGTCGATCCGCCTGCTTTCCTCTACGTCGGTAAAGACAAGGAAGAGAGTAAGCCCCGTAGGAACCATATGGGTGCACACAAAACCTGATTGAAGGTACAGATGAGG